CAGAATTCGAGTTAACCGTGAGAAAATCGCTATAGGGAGTGAAAATTTCATTCGAGATATCCGGAAATTCGAGATAAGCGAATTTGAGTTAAACGGAGCATTTAACATGGTGTCCTACGGGGTTCCGCCGGGACCAAGCTTTGAACTTTGAGATAAGCGGAATTTCGACTTATCAGGATTCGAGTTAACGAGTTTTCACTGTATGACATTGGATGCTCTGAGTTTCATAAAGGAAGGGGGGGGAAGGGCAATGGAGGCCACTAAAAACACTTGCAGTGTTTATGGAGATGTATTGAATGTCCATAAATGCCGGTTAGGCGATGTAGATCTCTTGGATGGCCATCATTTGGGAAGACTGATCTCCTGAGGTCAGAGGTTGAGTCAGACCCCCATCAAACCATTCAACAATTTGGAGAAAAACTTAATTCTTTGTGATCTAGAGTTCAAGAACATCTTCAACAGATCGGGAAGATTAATAGACAAGGCGTTTGCGTTTGGGTTCCACACCAACTTTCAGCCGAAAACAAAGGTGTGCACAACAATTTGCAATTCATTGATAACCCATTTCTCATCTCCAGCAACAATGCAATGAAGAAATGGTTCTCTTGTCTTGTTATCAACAAATTGTAAATTGTTGTGTGTTGGGCTTTGTTTTTGGCCAAAAGTTGGTGTGGAACCCAAACGCCTTGTCTATTACCCTTCCCAATCTATTGAAGGTGTTCTTGAACACTAGACCATGGAGAATTAAGTTTTTCTGCCAATTGTTGGATGGTTTGATGGGGGTCTGACTCATTTTGTCATTAAAAAATTTATGACAAATAACTGTTCTTTAGATTAATAAATGAAATTAATTTGAAAACAAATGAAAACACACCAAAAATAATGTTTAAATTTGGTTTACAAAAAAACGAAATTAGTTTCCCCTAATATCTTCTCACTTCATCATGTCCATATAAGATGCTCCTAGACAATTCATACTTCTCTATGGGCCTATCTTAATGCACTGATAACAGGTAGCTTAGCATTATAGTCCCCACAATTTGGGCCACCATTCAGATCTTTGACTTTGGGGATGTAAAAATACTGTAGTATAGTTAGGTGGCATAAGTCTATCCCCTTGGGCTCAAAACACCTGAAAATGTCTCATTTTCAAATGGTGATTCCATTTGTTTGAGAAACCCAATCTTTGCTCCATCTGAGCTGACAATTTGTCAGTGAGCTGCATAGATTTCAGATTGATGAGACTTGAAATTTAGGCAATTAAACTTTGAAACATGGTAATTAAGGGCATGGTTACATTCTTTTGCTTTTGAATTGGACCAGAGTAGGAGGGCTCATACTTCAATGTCAATATAATGTGAATTACTTAAGAGGAAGTGGAAGTAAGTCCCAATCATCTGTCATGAATATGGGGGAATAAGGGAGGCATGTACATATACCCAAGCAATGCCAAGCCTTGGGGTAAGTGTATACCCTCCACCTCATCTAATGAAGACATGCACCATACCACATGAAAAATAATGACAGCCTCAATAGTCTTCATCCTTATCTGTAGGTATATCATTTGTTTTGTAGCCTCGGTTGGCATTACCTGTTTTGCCTTGTGCATCACAAATGATAATTTTATTGTCATTTCCATATTACCATAATAAATCAATACAATTGTCATGAGAATGGCCGGAAGATTGGATGGCAGGAGAGGACGAAAGAAAGCCAGGGGACGGCTGGGAATTGAACCCAGGCCTCCTGTTTGCCGGTCAGGTGTGCTACCGCTACACCACCGAACCCAGGACATTCAATCGTGCCTCTCAATGCCATCCATTATATCATTACACAATGACTAATTTAATAATAAATGTATTCCAAACATAAAAATGAGACACATTCATGACTATAAGATTTTAAGACACATCCTGTTTCATGAATTGAAATTGCATGGTGGCACTATCTCATATGAGCTTCAAGCTTGGGAGCTCACCTTGAGCATTAATACATTGTTTAACCCTTTCATGCATGAATTTTTTAAAGCAAAACAAAGTGGTTTTATTGGATTAATGTTTAAGGTTGTAAATTCTGCTGCAGTAGTCACATGTTTTACTGAATAGATGAAGTGCACTGGAGTGGACTGCCTGCACCAGAAGTTTCAAGGCATGTGCACCATGGGAGCCGTTCACAATTACGTAACACAAGGGGGAGAGGGGGGGATCAGACAAAGTGTCTCCCTCCCCCCTTGCGTTATATAATTTGTGAATGGCCCCATGGCTAAAAAGCTATCATCATAGCCAAAATCATGTTGTCCACTACAGTGAATATCATGCATGAAGGGGTCAAACATTTTTTAAATGGAACCTACCAAAAGAAAATATTTTCATTATACAATAACAAAATAAAAAGAAAGAATCCCAGCAGTTCAAGCACTGGACCACAGCTAGTGATTGGAGGGGCAGTTACCAAATTTAGTGAGACCGATGAATCTTGTTTCTGGGGGCACATATGACCAAATCTGGGTGATTGTGGAAAAACATAAGCCTCATTTTCAACATCAAGACATTCCATTTTTGTTGCAGCTTCGGCTGAAAAACCAATTTCACATTGGTAAGATTGGGAAGCTGGGAGGAGAATTTCCATTACTTTGAAAGAGAGTTGCAGATTCTTCTCTTCAGCACTGAAAGCTCAGGGATTTTAATGGAAACTACCCATGGGAGCCATTGCGAGAGATAACCTTGTTACGAGTTATATTATAGTCTTGAGACATTTTGTTCTGCATGGGGAATCAAGCACTTTTGAGTCTCTCTGTTGCCTTTAAAAATATTTCTTCATAGAAAACTGGTTCATCAATAATACAACAAGCATTCAAGTAACAGCCAAAAGGGGCACATGATTCAAAACTGAAGTGTACAACTAAAAATGGTTGGAAGGTTGAAGTAAGGCTATTTGGGCCAGTAAAAAGCAAGAACTAGTTACAGAAAACCAACAGCACAAACTGGGTATGTTTACACCAGCATCTGTCAGATTAGGGAAGATCATCAACAGATGCAAAGACTCATTGGAAAAAAAAAAGGAAGGGGATTTCTCAGCCTGTACTATAGGATTACTTTTATTCAATCTTGTACTCATGGAAAAAGAGCCAGAGAGACCTCAGTCCAGCAAAAAAAACCTTCCAAGGGAAAATGGGGCAAGAAAGCCACCTCATCTCTGTACCCTGTCATTCAGCTGAGAAGGAATTTGACATTTTTCAGTAAAAAAAAAAAAGTAAATAAGGCACATTAAGCAAAATTTTGTAAATGCTCATAATAAACAAAAAAGAATTGGGTCTGCTCAGGGTCTCACCCCCATTATGAGAAATGCTACCCCAGACCCTATTGCAGTTCACTGGGCATTTCTCCATGGGGGTTGTGCATCTGGAGATGACCTCCAGTTTGAAAGCAGGGAAAGGATCACCCATTGGGGTTGCAAAACAGCATTACATGGCTTTTGCATCTTCCTGAGAGGTGATTTTGTCAATGATCCTAAGTTTGAGCTTCCATGTGCCCACTGCAATGCATAATTGCAGTGGATCCTTGCTGCCATAAAATGAATGAGGAGAAATGAGAAGGAGCTCACTTTCATAAAGGGGTCGAATGAGAGTGAGATCTGGGTTCGCAAGACCATACAGAGGATATGGAACAGTTGGTGGGACACCTTCAGGAAGCTTGTCTTCACAGATGAACAACATTCCCTTCTCCTTTGCAAGTGACCTCTGTATCTGTATGAAGAACACAAGCAGCAACCACAGGAATTCAGTATTTTTTTCTTCAACCTTCAAAAGGGATGAATAAGGAGAAGGGAGAGAACCGTATTGTGCCAGGCAGCTGTATTACGTCGAGGCATGGTTGTGAGACTCTCCCAATGAGACTCCATGAACGGAATAATGTGGGCATCACGCGAAAACACTCGCTCCTCCCGTCCTTCCTTTGTTGACTGCTGCTGAAGATTTGCCAATGCCGTTAGGCACATGTGTGTGAAATCTATCAGGATGAATGAGAAACATAAATACACTCAAGCAAATGTATTATTCCCATCAGTTGAAGTATTAACTTTGCCTCCCATACAGATAACCTTTTCCAAATGCAAGTGAGTGAATAACTTTACCATTTACTTTATACCACTTGCAAAGAAACAATGTCATGATACTAATTTTGCACTTGAAGTTTGAGGGCAGTACATATATAACAAATGTTGCAATTAGCATTCGTTTGCACAACTTTGGTAATGAATTAATCACAAATATCTGGATATGTAGCAAATGAAGTTGTATCTTTTATTCCTAAGTGATCACTTTCCTGCATTTATATGAATTTGATACCTGCAACAAGAATATTGAGGATTAAGAAATGAGTATTGACATACAGCAGATTCTGCTTTATTGGGCCATTGGTTAATGGGGCAGCCAGTTTATTGGGACATTTTATCAAGAACAGAATCACTAAGGTCATGGAAGGTAAGTTTGCATTATTGGGGCAAATTGACTTGGAACCAAGGTGTCCCGATAAAGTGGAATCCACTGTATAGCCCTTCTATTGTTGCCACAATCCTTTCATGAAGCCAGCAAAACTCCATTCATGACAAAGCAGCAAGTGCCTCAAAGCTGTTGTAGATCACTTCCAGTAGTGCCTGTAGGTTCTGGTGTCCGGTTCATATTATTACTTTCATTTGAACAATTAATATAAAAGCACTAATGGAACTAATGGAACTAAAGGAAGGCCAGGTGGAGTAGATTCACTTGTGTCTGATATCAGGTATCCCACATTGATGAAATTTCTCAATGTGAGATTGTATACAGTGAAACTCTTGCTTGATGAAATATCTGTGATTTTGATGCACTACACATTTGCATTCAAAAATTTTTGTGAAGCAAAAATAAAAATTTTTTTACATTCAACAAAGACTGGGAACTGTCATTTCAGCAATGCTCTGTGGACAAGAAAGATGTATTTACTGAGAGATTGACTAGAATTTCTTGGGCTGAAAATAATCAAGTAGGCATAACTTGACTGAGTAGAGTAGTGATTTTGGCACCAGAAACATTGCTGATGAGTTTCAGAAGGAAGGGATTAGAGGAGACCTGACTTAGGCTGGACTCTCTCATATACTTTGTAAAAAGGGTAAGTTTTTTTTTTTTAAATCCTCAGAAAAGTAAAAGAAGTGTTTCAGGAAAAAAATGTGAATAAATAATTAATTTTTCATGTTTTTTAAAAATTATTTTTCATTATTTAAACAATAATTTTTCATGTTTTCCTAGTCCGTAAAAAATTTTTCCAAAAATGTTGAACATGTGCAATTTTACCAGGTTATAGTACCTCTAGTTAATCAGACAAACATATTCATACTCAGCATCACAGAAATAAATGCTAATCAATCAATACAAATCAGCAATCATTGTATCATAAAATAAAACCTTTTCATGGATGAAATCATTAGAGGAGTTGCACAAAGGTGCAAAAGAGCAAGTAAAGAAGTGCTTCAATGTGAGTCATTAAACCAACTGCCATATGGCTTCAGGGTTAACTACATCTAAAAAACCCACTAGTTTGCTAACCTGCTATCAGTAAATTTGTTTCCCAAGTTGCTATTTCCATGAATGCTTTGCCCTTTATATTCCAAGAGAAAATTCGAACAAAAAGAGTTTGACTCACGAGCTTGGCTCTTTTTGAACACCTCCAGCCCTGTGTTGGAGCAGTTCTTGCATGTGAACACATAGTTGAGCATAAAGGGAACCAATTTCCCCAGCTGATATCCAATGCAGGACTCATGGAACCACCGTCTACATCCATTACACTGCAGTTCCACTATATTCAGGTTCCGTTCCTTCCCACTGCAGGCATACAATCATACACACATACTGCAATCATACAGATTGTGTTCTTGACTGTCAAACAAGAAAGAACAGGAGACTCACCAATAGCAATGGCCCATCTGTTGAGACTGGGATTGTGATGAAGGAGGCTCTGAGCTGGGATCAGGAGGTGCTGGTGTCAACAGTGGTTGTGGTAGTGTATGAGGAGGAGGTTCTCCGAATTCTCCCAATATAAGAGAATGGGGATGAGGAGGAGAAGAGGCAGTGTGGGTTCCTTCATCTTCTGATTGGCTGCTGACCAGGGACTGCTGAGAGGAATCCATCATGCTCTCATCCCGACTCCCTAAATCTTCTCCACAAGCATCCTCTGTCCCTGAGTCCTTCTCCATCTCTACCTTTCTTTCTATGCTTCACTTCAACTCCTATCCACATGAATGGAATCTCAAGAAGTACATCTTCACAGATGCAGTCATGAATCTACTCAAACCAATATAGACAATGACGATCCTTAGTGGCCTGGTTTAAGGCCAGAAAGAGATAAAATGGCCTCCAGCTGACCAAAAGCCAGCCCAGGTGCAATCATGTGCCAATCAAGCTAAAATTAACAATCCATTGAGGGCCAATCTGTATATGATGATATTTATCTTTGGATGCACAATATTACCCAAACATCATATGAATAAGCCTCTTTTTGTGTACTCCACAGGATATAGCATCATTCACACTTATGGATTTCCAGTGAAAGACAAACAACCAGGGGGAATTCAAATCTCTGTCATGCAGATCCTTTCCACTCGACATTCCTCAATCAAGTCCATCAAATGGGTGAATAGAGGTTTCAAAGTCATCCCTTCTTTCTTCCACATCTTCCTCACTACTGCTACTGCTTTCAATCAATTCTGTTGGAATGATCTCCTCTCTACAACATTAACAAGAAAAAAAGAGCTTATTTACTGAGGTTGAAAGGACAGTGTTCTGTTTCATATAGAGGCTGCATTGTGACCTTTCAGATGAAGGAAACTGTGAGGAATCAGAAAAGCTGGGATCCTGAAGAATTCTCTCCAAAGTGGACACAAACAAATGAGCATTTTCCTCAGTGAAACACATGGGTGGCTGCAAAGCAAGAATGTTCTGAGCCTCTCCTACCACTGACACAAGGATCCCCTCCTCCTTCAACCTGAAGAACCACAATATTATCATTTTTAGTGAGCCCCGTTTCTTAGCAAAAGAAGGATCCTAATACATGCGTATATGCATGTATTTGGTATCTTGACATACTTTTGATTAAAATTTTTATCTAGCAATGAATTTATAATATAATAAAAATGAATTTTGGAAACTCTCAAGCAGCACCATAGTGTATGGTTGCAATGTACCACACCAGACACCAGTCAAATCAACTTCATCATCATATGAGGATCATGATTGATTTGCTAAGATGGTAAGGTACTTAAGAACCGAGATGGAGTGGAAAAGAAGAAAAGAAACCCTGAATGCCAATGAGGAGCAAACAGGATGACCATTATGTTCCAATATTGATGAATGAAGGGCTAAGTTAGCCCTGGGTTAACTTCTTTGTAGGGTTAAGTAGCCCCTTGCTAAACTGATCCTCTTGTGTTGGTTGATGAATCAAAGATTATGTCAGAGTTAGCAAACCCCACCTGGGAAGGTGGGGTTTGCTAACTCTGACATAATCTAATTGCTAACTCTTCCCATCCTCCAGAAACAGTCTGGTACTTTTTCTGTTCACTAAAGTTCTTATTTCCTTGTGTATTTTCTTTTGTTTTGGAACTGCCCTCCAAGGTTTTTATATCATTTCCAATTATATTATTTTCTCATTCTGTTAATTGAAATAGACTAAATACTTATAATAAACCTAATAATCAGACTTGGTATGGCTCTTGCTTTTGAACAGGCATGAATCTTGCTCACTTGAAGAATATCCTGGAGTTTTGTCTGGTGCAGGATGTCAAGATAGTGTAAATAAAATCTTTAAAGAAGTTTGAATTTCCTGATTTATGTAAGAAATTTGAATAATCAGGTTATTCCTTTTAGATTGCATGATACAATCTTATCAATTGCATTCCATGCACAACATAGTGGATGGTCATGCTTCCATTCCATCTCTTGACTGGGTTTTGCTCAGCTTGTTCACCCTTTCTTTACATATTTAGCTAAAATTTAACTAAAAAGTAGGAATCATTGAATCTGATTGTAACATTTATGGTGGTAAATATGTCATAGATAGAAGGGATTTTCCAGAGAAAGGGAAACAGAATTTGATTGTGAAGACTCACTAGCTCAACCAAGTTAGGATGAAAAATTGCAAGAATGCAGAAGAAAAAATATAATAAAGGAGAGTATTATTTTTAGCCCATTTTGATATTGATATCATTGGATTGATCGCAATTTGCTGAGTTCAAATATATAGCTTATAGTCTATTTCATTCCATTTCTGAGTTACAAGCTCCAAAAGATTCAAGACAGTAACTATTGATTCATGAATAATACGGTCAAAACATTTTGATATGCAGGGTTGTCCAAGGAAAAGTAAGTCACTTGAAATTTTGCAATAAACCACGTATTTTTTAACAGATTAACTTGAAAATTTTAAGTTACATTGTCTATATGTTCTTCAAGAGCTGTTACAATTTCATGTGTCTGCAACTATCCTTTCATGAGTTATGGCAGACATTGTCAAATTGCATTCACTTGATTTTGAGTCTTTAGAGAGAAGGGCAGGATGTGATGGAGAGGGCTTAAAATATTAACATATTGTAGTAATATGGATTAGAGTAAGTTTTTCACCATCCATGATCCATCTTCCACAGCAGGGACATTCCATGAAGCAACATGATCCCAAGGAAGGAACACAATTAAGGCATGGGTTTTCACTTGTGACTTTTAGAGAATGGAGCAGATTGTCATCTGAGATTATAGAAACTGTATCCAAAGGTAGTTTAACTCATTCACTGCTGCCCCTGGAAGTGAACACATTAAATGCTGTGTGCTATGGAAATTCTGAGAAACAGTCAGTCACATGAAAATTTTGACTTCACTTGCTGCAAATTAAAATGCATACACCATTTCATACAAAATTGATGAATTGACTTGCTAGCACCTGAAACTAACACACAGCAAGAGTTGGGGTCAAGCAGTGACCAATGTAAGATAAGCCTTCTGGACTATGCAATTATGTATGCCCATAATATCCCTCATTGGCTTTGTCCTGAAACTCCTAAACAAAAGTGCTTGAGGGTATATCTCATTAGTAGCATAGTCCTATGCTGTAGTGTACAAGGTAAATGGATAGTCTCTCCCTATCTTAAAATGTTAATAACTTTTGTAAATTTTGTATTAGAACAATGATTTTTGGGCCAAAAGAAACAGAATTTGATAGATTTATGATTTAATTTATTTCTTTGTTTGTAGTCACCCTTCATGGTGCCAAAATTGAATAAATTGAATATTTGACAGTGTGCAAATAGCTGCATGGTATGAGGTGCAGCAGTGGTCCTTCTTGTGGATGAAGGACTTCCACATGTCATACCATGGTCTAGAGGTGGTGGTGGTGGAAGGGAAATGCCTTAGATGCAACTTCCCACCTCCTGCCCCTCCACACCTCATACCATGCAGCTATTTGCACACAGTGTTGAATATTTAATTTTGGCATCATGGAGGGTGACTGCAAACAAACAAATCAAATAAATGATAAAATCATATCAATTTTTTGGCATAAAAATCATTGTTCTAGTCCAAAAATTACAAAAATTATCACAATTTTAAAATAGGGAATGATTTTCCATTCACCCTGTACATTTGTGGCTCTAACCCTCCTGCCTTTCATCCTTCAGTTAGCTGGTAAAAAAATAAATAAATAAAAAAGAAAGAAGACTACTTATTTTTATACCAGCAAATTGGTAATACCTCTTTTTTTTCTTGCATGGAAGAAGAGGGTCTTTATCGATCAAAATTGCTTGCTGATAAGTAAGAATGGGTACAACTACTCATATATATGACTGATATGGTATGGATCAATTGCTCTTGAAAATCAATCAATCAAGCAATTACACTTATGGTGACTCCATGGAATGAGAAATGTTAGAGAAAGAGATGAAGCACTCACATATAATAGAGTTTTTTGGCCAGCTGCCGACTTGGCTTTTTGGACTGTTGGTTCTCAACTATTTCCATACCACCAATCAATCCTTGACCTCTAACATCACCTGAAGCACATTAGAATAGCTTAGAAGATGTACAGGGTGGCTGAGAAATTGGTTTTAAAATACTTAGAGATGTGTACCAAGCATCTAGGGGTCTTTTGACCCTGAACCTCAGTAGATCAGTTCACTACACCATGGAAGAATTATGGGTCCAACATCATGACCTACAAGGATCACCACACATAGTTTCAAATGGCTGCCAAGTGTTCACACTGTCAAAGGAAAATGATGTATATTTCCAACACTTATTCCAATAAAATCTATTCCAACCTTTGTGATGCCCAATATCATCACCAATAAGGCAGACATTAGACCCATAAGTCTCCCCCCATGATAAAGTGAACTGCTCAACCAAGACTCAAGGTCATACAACCAATAGGTGCTGAGATATGCCTCTATTGGTTGCCCTATATGTAATAACTGATGGAAAGCCACCAGATAAATGCTGGTGACTCACCAATATGAGGTGACTTGTTGAGAAGTGTCCTTAAACCTGACAAGAGGACCTCTCCAACATGGCCTGCATGATCCATCAGTTTTTCAGATGACAGTACTTCCAATACAGCTGCTCCAATCTTCAAGCCAAGCCTTGGTCTAGTGAACTGAAAGAGATTGAATTTGGTTCTACACTCCAAACAGGTTCCAGGTCTGATGTAGGTGTGCAGTGAAGGAAGATCACTAGACCTGTTTCAGGATGGATTCTGCACCAGAGACAAGATCCCTTCGTGTGACTACAGCAGCCACAGGATACCCATTTCCCAGAGGTTTCCCAAGAGTGAGGATGTCTGGGATGAGGTCATGCTCAAGGTCCTGAAATCCCCACATGTGAGATCCCAGGCGACCTAGTCCTGTGGCCACTTCATCTGCTATCCACAACCCTCCCTTCTGTCTAATTTCCCTTTATGCATCAAATTTCCCATGAAAATAGATACACTGACAAAGAAACAAGGAGTAAAACTCTAAAATAAAGGAAAGAACAAATAATAACTGACTTGATGACAGAGGGAAGATAATCTGTAGGGGGAATGATGATACCAGAGGTGGAGAACAGAGTTTCACATATGAAACAAGATATCTGGGAAAGGGAAAAAAAATACACATCAAGTGTTTCTTTCCCTTCACATGGAAATGTGGGTGAAGAGAAGTATAATGGCAGAGACAAATGAAGAGAGTGACCTTTGAGTCAGAAGAATTCACTTCATGGATGAGCCTTATTGCATCCCTCAGGTACTTGGAATGGGCCTCAGGATCCTCCCTCTGATACTTCCCTTTATATGTGTCAGGCAGAGGGAGGACATGCACCCATGGCTCACAACCTGGAAATGAAAAAAGAAATAATTATGGTGTTACTTAGACTGTCAGCATTGGAGAATGAGAAAAGGAGAAAGAACCGTGTTTAAGTCTCTTGATAGAGCGAGGGGAGATTCGGGAAAGAGAATCAAAGTTTCCATGATATGCACCATCCATGACAAACACATCCTTCCTCTTTGTGTAGTGAGCTGCCAGCTTTAAGGCTAAATCATTGGCCTCTGACCTGTCATTGAAAATTAATCCTTTCAAAGGCAAGGGTCACAAGCACCCAACCTCTACAGGATAGGATGTCTAAAATATCACTCTCCAAAGTCTGTATGGAATAAAGCATGAATGGAGTGTTCCTGTTGTAACTGTGCATCAGTATCTGTATACATTAAATTTGAAAGAATGAGAGACAAGGCAGAGGCAGATCCAAACCCTGTGGTGAGGAAGATGAAGGTGTCTAGGGCTGGTGGTAGTGTAGAACGGAGGGAACAAACAATGGGTGTCTCCTCTGATTCAATGCAGGCAGGCTCAGGCAAAAGGAGTTTTCCCATCTCTACCTGTGCAACTTTCACAATCAATGGGTGGCAATGTCCAACTGCAATGAAAACCAGACACATGATTGTCAGCCCTAATACACTACAAGCCAGACAAGAACAAACCCTGGATTATTGTGTAATGGAGTACTTGATGCACAAACCATGAGCAAAATTACTGATGCAGTCTAGGTATTCCTTATTATTGTGATCAAAAAGATATTGTCTCCTTCCCTTCACTATCTTCATTGGATTCTGGGCGAAATGCATGCGACAGCTGCTTCTGAAAATAAAAAAAAAACATGAAGAGACACCAGGGCACAGAGAGCAAAAGCCAACCCAGTAGTAACACTCAAAATCAGCCCTCTTGATATCATAAGGGCCAAACAAGGCTGCTCAGCTCAAACCTGTGCTAGTGCTGCCACAAGTAGAGATGGAGTGAAAGCACAGCTATTCCCACACTGTCCTTTGATCACAGCCTATTTCTCCTCCCTCTCTTATATCCATGAAATTTCTAAACTTGTTTCTATTTAGTGAATATCCTTAAACTGCAAAGGAATCTGTTCTCAGCTGAGTATAGCACAAATGTATGAGTATGGGGAAGAAACTATGATAATGCCCTGCAAATAAACCCAACCCAATTGATCCTTATCACCCAGAGGAACTCAGCAATGCTTCCCTAGAGGAGTTCTGGGTGATGAGTCAGGCAATATGTGATATAAGAGATGAGACCTGCAAAATTCATGAAAAGGCGATCATGGAAGACAAAAGCCAACATCATTCCAAAGCACACCAGCCAGTGTTTCTCAGTGAGTTTCGCAAGTCTTGCCGAATGCAAGGCACTAGCGGCAAAATACTCTGCACCTCCCTCAAAATGGCTTGCATGCGCTGCATAATGTTTTGCACCACCTGTTCTCCTCCACACCTCCAGAGCAGCTCAGAATGGCAAGACCACCTGGCAACCCTGATGGAAACCATGTCTGGGACCCTTGATACAATGACTGCATCACAAAGCTTCCTGTGGATGGTATTTGTCAGTTTCACACTTGGTTGTTATGGTGCAAGGGCAAAAGAGGACCACTTCTGACGCAAATCATATCATTATTTGGTATTTCATCAATAAGAATTCCTAAGTGTGGAACTTCTTTTCCATTTACTTATAGGTCTTTCCAGGAAGTAATTCAGAGTAATCCATGAATCTGGGTGCTCGATATCCATCCATTCTAAAGACTGTCCACAAACCATGCATTCCTTTCTCCAAGGGTTGTCAGATGGATACATCATTCAGAATGGCACTTGCTTGCTGGGTGAGAGAAGGGAGTATGAAACATAATGCAACACATGCAAATTGTTCTGGAAGGAGCATGAAGCAATATGCCACTTGTGCATAACATTATGCAGCAGGTATGAAAGTCAATGGGAAACACTGTACAATGTGTAAGCAACTTGGGGGGAAAATATATCTGAAACTGGTATCCAGTCTCTCCAATTATCAGGCAAAAATTCAATTATTAATACACTTTGAGCATGGGAAGGGAAAAGAATGATAGGAATCAATATAAAACTAAGACTAAGAAGAATAATGTTCCTCAGATGTACAATTCATATTCATTTCATTATTGCACACTGCTTCCTATTCAAAAATTTTCAAAGGCCTTGCTTAGCAAGAGGTAGCTAATAGAAGACAATTAAATGTGGGGAAAATTGTGATGTCCAAAAATCATGGCAGCTAGCTGTTGTCTAAATTTGCTGTGCATCTACACAATTACCGCTGAGGCAGCAAGGCTTCTCAGTTTCTGCCTCTTGAAAAATTCTCTATGAACTCCAGTGAAACATGCCAAGAGTAAGAGCAGAATCAATATGAAGGATGATAATCAAGATAGCACTGACGCCATGGAATCCTTTCTCATGTCCCATGCTTCCTGGAGGGATAGAGGGGGCATTGCAGTCAGCCCAAGACCCAATATGGCTTCTTCATTTGCTCGACTCATCTTGATATTTCATCACAGGGATCCTGTTTTTCAACCTTCATCACCATCATGAATTTACAGACTTGACTCCTGTAAATAAGAAAGAAAAAATCAAAGTAGCTTTTAAGACCTTGCAGCTTAAAAGTTCTCTCAAAACCCTGAGGTGTATCACAGAGAGTTCTTATGAAGCCTGTAAGCAATTGCTTCATGGAGTGTGGAGGCTCCTAGATAATCACCTGGCATGGAAATTGGAATCATGCCCCTTCCAACACTTCTGACAAACTTGTATGCATAAGAAACATACATTTCCCCCTCAAGAAGGCAAACAACAATCTGATCATCTGGGAGAGTAAGACATCCTTCATTCTTCTCAATATAAGAATCATTGATACAGAAATCAAAACAAAAAAGCATACAGAAATACGCAAAGATGTTTCCATTTTAGGTCTACACCACTTTATATCTGCCCTTCTGGAAAGGTTGGTAGGCAGAAGTTTGAAGCTTCAGTAGCTCCTCCTTTATGAGACGGGTGATTTCATTCTTGGCCTTGGAAACAGCCAATTCGCTCGTGCTCTCAATGGCAAGATAGAGCTTCCGCTCTCCATCTGGTGGGTTCTTTCCTGAGGGGCAGAATGTTCCACGCACTGTGATTCCTGCTTCTGAATACTCCCCTATCTGCTGCAAAGCCTGGCAATGAGAAAAACAGAAAAATGCATGAGTTTATCATGATAACCACCAGGATATTACAGTAGGAACCATACTTCCATAACTGTGGAAAGCAACAATTTTCGATGCTGAAAAATATATGGTATGAAAATTAGATTGTGTACATAATTAATACAATGAACAAAAAGATAATGAGTGCAATTACTAAATTGCTACAGGATGAATATACAAAAAGTCAACTCATAAAAGAAAATCCACCCTCACCATTCCTCCACCTGTCAAGATCAAGGATGTCTGTACAATGTTATTAAAAAAAAATAAGTATGACTTTTTTTTTAGAATCTCCAGCAAGTGGACTTCTGCTAAGAGAGACATGTGAATAGTTTTTTCTTATTTTTATTTCTCATCAATTAGAAGAACATGGACACAGGGAGTGCATGGTCTCAGAGATTCTTCAAATATTGAGGTTATCTGGCACAAATTTAACGGTGAAATCTAACACTCTGGATGGAATGTACAAGGGTCAGTCAAATGAAAACAAGAAGTATTTCTTTTCTGGGAATGAGAGTATTATTTCTCAAAGAATGCCCTACCATTGTTGAGGCACAGATTCCAACACTTTGCAATATTTTTTTTACACCAGCCTCATAAAATTTCTTCAGTTGCTGTTTGCTCCAGAATGTGACAGGCTCCTGTACTTCATCATCCGTGTGGAAACATTATGCTGTACTGGATGCTAATTATGGTTTGAACTGAGCTGCAACTGATTCCCCAATCTGCAGCCAATTCATTCACTGAAACATATCTGTTGCCCCCATATGAGCTCATTCACCTTTACAATTTTCAATTTTGCAATGACATTGGTCTGACCTGGGCAAGAGCCATCCTCCAAATTCTTATGCCTGCTTTGGAAACATTTGCACCACTCATATGCTCACTGCTATGATCAAAAGCTGTTGGCATTAACAGCACTCATTTAGGAATGGATTTCTGTGCATGACACACCTTCAGTGGTCAGAAATTTAATTACAGCATGCCAGGCTTTCTTGGGACACACAAGGCACTGTGAGCACCATATGCTCAAGTGATTGCACAGTTCTATCTGATCGCATGGTGTTGCCAGCTATCACGGGTATTCAGCAATCTCTGCAAACATGCACTGAAAGTATTGGACATCCATCAATATGGAATTATTTTATATTGTGATTTTCTTGTTTTCAAATGACCAACCCTCATACTTCCACAGAATCAATCAAATGGTTGAACATCCTTGAATCTAAAAGCTATAGATGGGGTAAAGGGAAAGAGGTACTTTACCTGGTAAATGATTAATTGTCATGGAAAAATATATTTCTTTCATGCAATCAATAGCAACTTTTATCTCTTCGCAAGGTGAAACCAGTAACTGCAACAATTGACTTTTTTCCTACATATTGTTATTTATTCCTGCTTCATGATTTTTCATCCTTGCAGTTGGAATTCCTGTAAATACTAGAGATTGGCAGGTGGCAAAAAATATTTTCTTGGTTGAGGGGAAGGGGACAGGTAAGTGTTTGGGATCTTGTGGCTCCCACACATGCAAACAAGAAATCCTGCATACCCCATTCTAAAACTTATCACCTTCTAGAAAATGAACTTTTCATTTCTCCCTCCTTTCAATGAGACAATGTTTGATGTGCTCCCTCAGTCCTCACTAATGCTCAGGACAAATTTGAAAGCTGATATACACACATATTCTACTGCCTTGCCAGAGCAGAGCATACAAACCACCAACACTTTCCAATAACAGTGAGCTTCTCTTGACAGTTATATAGAGAATACAGTATAAGTTGGTATCAGTTGAAGATTTGCCAAGAGATAAAATACCAGTCTACTCCAGAATGAGTACTTGCTTTTTTTTTTAAATCAGGATGGATGTTTGAAAGCAAATGAAAAAAATTAGGTGACAATAGAAATTCAAAGACAGTAATTGGACTGGCTGTTCAGTTAAGTATATAATTTTCATTAGCAGGAAACTGATCATCTTAAGATTTTCCATAACACAGGTTCTATGGCCTCCCCAGTGTCGACATGCACCTAAAAATCATAGGAACAAATACCTTCGAAGTGACCTTCCATCTAACTTGCTGAGGAAAATCATTGATCTCAAGCTCTTCTTCAAACTTCTGGAATGTTTCCCCTTGATTCAGAGTCCCAGTAGGTTCTTCATCATCCAACTCTCCCAACTGCCCTTCTTTGGGTTGGTAATTCAGTTTTGTGTTGAGTTTTGCAGCCAACTGTTCTGCAACTGATTTTGCCTGGAAGGAAAACAAGACATACATGAATCTCAGTCCACTATTACAATCTGACAAGGCCATGCTCTCATCTTGCTCCCAAGAAGTAATGTTCTCACAGTGATGACTGGCTGCTGAGTGGTGATACCTCCCTTAAGGATGGCTTCAGCAGTCTGTTGGGTGACTGCTGCACGCCCTTCTTGCCCCAGATTCCTTTGCATGTTGATCTGAGAGGCCCGGCGCTTTGCTAATTCCAGTGCATCTGATGCCATTGATGGTGTTGGTGCTGCCCCTAGCAATCCTATCACAGAGCAAACAACACCTACATCATACATGTCAGGGATTACAAGTGATTTTTCTATATGAGAAAAACCAATATATAGCCTACAAGTCAAACATAAGGGCCTACTTTATGTTTCACTTTTGAACAGCTACAACTAGGATTCAACCCTCAAGTATGACAGCAGAATTTCTGATGTATATTAATTTTTCACCTTGACTCTTTTCATAGGTGTCACAGCTTGCAGTATACATGTTGCTTAGTGGTCAGATGACATATTTCAATCCTCATTGGCTGAGATCCAGAATATTGAATCTTAATTATAACCAGGTTTATTTTTTCAGCCAAAGCAGCAAGGAGCAAGGGAACAGCAATATGAATACATGGATGGAACATTAATTTCTCTATTTTAAGCAAGGTGACCAGTTCGATTCCTCATGACCAATAAGGCAAAATCTTGATTAAGGAGTAAAAAAAAGAAAGCTACAAGTAGTGAAGCAGAACTCTTTGCCCAAGGAACAGACCCAAAAATTATTTAAATTGAGAATGTAACAAGGCCATTCTGGGTCAAATCAGCATAGCACTAAAAGATGACTTTCTCTGCTTTGAATGAAACCTGACAGGCCCTTTTTTTTACCAATTAGTAAGTGACTCACAGCAACTATTGAGATCATTTGACTTCTTGCTCCTCAGATACAAGGTCATGAAAATTCAGATCAAAATGCCTTCTTGCCACACCTTGATAAAGTCTTCCCCTCATACCCTCTGCCCTATATGAGCTAGAGACTTCTTGGGCTAATTTGAAAGTTCCTTCCAAGCCCCTTCCATATAAGTGACTAGGTTTTGGCTAAGTGCCAAAAGTTTACTTTTAATGAGGAGGTCATGGTAATGACCTTTGACCCCATATTAGCAAAAACAACCTGTTCAGATTTTGAAAAAATTTTGACTGATTTGCAGGCAAGATGTGTGGCTACTTTATATGTTAAACTTTACCTTCAGCTCTCCAGGAAATCAACATAACTACATAGAACTGATTAAAATGAATGAAAATTCTCTCTACTGGTTGTTCAAAAGAAAACATGCAGACACATGCATAATCTCTTAACCCTTCAAGCGGTGAGTTTTGACTCGACTTCCTAAGTTATGAAGGGATTAACAAGTGAAAGGACCTCACTATGACATACTCTTAGCTCATCAGATTTGTGAGGATAAGCTACAGCAAAGTAACAAATATGAAGTACTTTTGCACAATAAATATCAACAAAGAGAATAGAGTTTAAAGCTGATAAAATTTACCTAATTTTTTATGGCATTCAGCAGTGTCAGTAAACATCTTACCCAACTTCAGATATCTGTTGAAGTCATATAAAATAAACAACTGTTTTGCACTTCCATGCATTAGAGTAAAAACTTTCTTCCAATATATAGGTGCAATGCCACATGTGCAGCATTTGTATGCAGGAAAGAATAAAGTTTAAAGTGTACATTTTTATATTTTTAGGAAGGAATCTCCCAGAGCACTTGGCACTCCCATCACAGGATGTGGGACATTAAAGATCCCTGGTGATAGCCAAACCTCAGGCAGAGTAGCCCCAGAGTAACTGCATTGGCCAAATTGAGTCTCCCAAGGCTACTCATGTTAGCTGACATTAGAAGGGGAAAGGTTTAGATTGGAGGGTGGATTAGCTGGTGTTCCATAATTAGGGTGTGGTCATGGTCCTAGAACTCTTACACCTGATACCTTATATTGCAATATACCTCAATGTTGAAAAAGTGCCCAAGTTAAAATCTGGTACAGAGTTAGTTATATGCCTTGTCTACTAGGGATGCACCGATACCAATCCAAAGTGCTGGTATTGGCCAATACCAAGTGGATCGGCCAGGATCAGTATTGGCCAATACCTATATGTCTGATCTGATCTGATTCAATTCTCCCTTGCCGCAAGCCGTACTTGATGTGCAGCGCATACATTTTTGGATCGTCTCATGAAAAAAACCACACTCTTAATGGCAATTGGTTCCTTTTGTCCATCATAGTTATTTTTAATCTCCAACTAATAGACAATGAGCTTGAGCATGGTTAAAGTGGAATGCGAGAGATTTGAGAAGGCCAGTGTCCTTCACATATGCATTCATTCCTTCACTTCCCCCCCTCCCCCCTTCCGTCCTGTCTCCTGCCTTCCTGCATTGACTTGGTTGGTGCAGGCGCACTTTGTGCTCACGTCCATCCCACCTCTGGCTCTCCCCTCGAGCACTAATCCCAGTTGTACAGTTGTTGCATCAACTCCTTAACCTCCTTGGTGGTCTTTTATTTCCCTATTCTTTACACCCCAGGGCCCTTTTTTCTTTCCCAGTTGGTTTTTTACTGCAAGGTTGAATTTCACAGACACATGTGTCCTAATAAAATAATGGCAAACTATAGTAGGAGATACTATTATATATACTACCTGTACATTTCATGAACATAGAACACACTTGAACAGATTTGAAAGCATTGAACAATACAATGCTCATATTAAACAAGTGGAATTTTTTTATTTTGTACTGCAATTCTTTGGGTAAGAAGCTGCACACAATCATACATGCAGAAGAATTCTGAATAAATGTTGAAAATATGCACTATAGCCTAACTGATGTACATGAATTAGCAATTACATATGTTTGGTGCAATAAGCCTCGAAGCAAGGCTTCACACAATCCAAAGTCACACTCCATGCAACAGAATCTTGTCTTTTTCCTGATCTCCTTTCTGTAGCCATCTTTTTTTCAAACAATGCAATCAATACAGACTGCAGGGTGTTGTCTGTCTGTTGATTTAATATATACACTACAGGGTGTTCATAAAGTGACTACCTCAGAGTAACTTTTTTTAATACTGGATCTGAGGGAACCAATCATTTTTTTGCATGCTGTCATAAGACCTCAGAATGGTGTCACAACTTTTGTTTCTACACTCTAATGCAGTGGTTCTCAACCACTAAAGGACTAAAACACCATATCAGTGAAATTAATTATTTCCTGTGGCAAAGTGGAAGGAGGAAAGGTCTGACACTTTTCTGAGGTCAGTATGTTGTCAGCCTGCAAATGTTAAAAAATGGTTACTTCAGGGTCTATAAAAAAAAATGTGCACATAGGTAGTCACTTTATGGACACCCTGTATTTCATAGGGTTAAGAGATTTCACCTGTGTTCATATATACAAAAATATTGAGCTTACCACGGAGAAGTGCATGAAAGAATAACAACCCTGAGGTTATCTCGGGGTAAATGCTAAGGAGGTTAATCCCTTAAGGACATTAGATGTAGTTGCTGACTCTACTCCTCTTTGCACTGATTGTCCTTTGTACGTAGTACTTATGTCCAACATATTCTCAGCAGGCCTGGTGAATGGCAGGGGAAGTTTTGGCCTATACTCAAGAAGCTAATATATTGCCAACATAAATGTCTCCAAAGCTAAATAAATGACAGGAACTTCAAATGTTGGGTCTTTAGTGTCTGAGGGTTTTTTATTTCTTCCCATCTCTGTGAAAGGTAGCATAAGGCCTCCTAAGGTCTGGTCCTATATTGTAGTTTCATTTCTGACAGCCACTGGGATCAGTATTGGTATTGCTATCAGCTAATCCTGGATTGGCACATCCCTATTGTCTACCATTCCCTCAAATCTTTAAATAAATAAAAATTCTGAGAGAGTTGCTTTTGACAACGTGAGATTAAAAGTCACCAACATGACCTCCATAGTGAATGATGACATTTTAACATGAACCAAAATTTATCAATAAAAATGGAAAGGGCAAGAAAAGTTTTTTAAAAAAGCAGCCTAAGATGGGACTTCTTGCATATTTAGGACAGAAGTTTCATGAGGGAGACTATCATGATACAGAAATAACATATTTCACCCTACACTTTGACATTTTATCAGAGGAAGAAGGGCCTAATGAATCCAATATTTGGTGTGGGTTAGTTTCTCGCCATTATTGATAAGTACACCAAGTTTCATTCAAATCAGGAAGCCATCTGAAATAAGTCCTTCAAGTGTGTTGATCTGATCCTACCTGGAATGACCCTACCTGGTCCAGGATTTGGCATAGGAAGCATGCCAGCACTTCCAGCAGCAGAGCTTGCAGCAGTCATGTTGTTGATTCCAGTTGCACCTGGGATCGGCAGGTTTGAGGCAGTCACTTTTGTAACTGTTCGCTTTGGTGCCATAATATTCTCAATCTGTTGGTCAATGTCACCCTCAATGTCTTCATCATCTGAGTCTTGGAGACCTGTTGTCAAAACATTTGAAGCTCTTCATGAGGTTCAAGAACTGAAATAAAGAACCTGAAGAGACAGAAATCTCACCAAGTGCAGCCTTTTGGAATTTTCTCTTTTCATTAGCCATCATGGCCTCAGCCTCATCAAACTTGAATCCCTTCCCACTGAACCCTCCTCCAGTCTTCACCTTTTTTCCTTCCTAGGCAAAGAAATCAAAAACATTTTTCATCTTTCATATTTTACTTTGTAAAACAATGTGGGAATATTTCAGAACTCACAGCAGCCTGCTTGGCTCGGTAACGATCCCAAATCATTTGCAGATTTTCTGGAATCTCAGCTCCTGAAAGCTCAAGTGCTTTCACAATGTCACCTGAGTTTCGTTCTTGGTCTGGGGTGATGAAGGTGTATGCTGTCCCCTTTTTACCTGCTCTGATGATCAAATTAAAGGTATCCTATTCCATGCTGATCCATAAGACCTGAGGTTACTAACCTATGGCTCAAATGTTGTTTGCTACACATGACAGGGCAAAGTATAACCCTTAGGCTGCGAGGAAGAATTACAAACATGAAATGTAGACTCTGCATTGATTTTATATTAAAAGCACTAGTGGATAATCAAATGACCACACTTGTCACCTACAGATAACCTGTGGTCCCTAGTTGGTAACACAGCATTAGACCTACCTGCCAGTTCGACCACATCGATGGACATAATCTTCGTAGTGATTGGGGCAGTCATAATTTATGACAAGTACAAGTCCTTGGACATCAAGACCACGTGATGCGACTGATGTTGCAATCAACAGCTTTACCTTCCCTGCCTTGAAGTCAACTATGGTGGAATCCCTGTCAAATTGGTCAATGCCACCATGGAGGGACATACAGGAGTATGAATGCTTCATAAGATCCTTCAGTAGAGCATCAGCTGCCTCCTGCTTGTCCACAAATACAAGTATACTCCCTTGCTCATAAAACAGCCCCAGTAGTTCAAGAAGTTTCAGGAATTTCTCATGCTCCTCCAGGACGACCTGAATATAGAAAAAGTAAGAAACAGCTAGTCAAATGAGTCAAACAGCTTATTTTGCCATTGCCTGTATGCCAACACAAACATCTAGCATTATGTTAACCAACAGCAGTAGAATTTACTTTCAGCCCAGATAGGAAAGGAGAATTAAACTGAACTAAGGTTGTCCAGAGTATCATTCTGATGCCACAAATACTGCAGGCCTAATGCTTCTGGTTATTTACGGTATGGTATTAATGCCATTCAAAGAAAAAACAAAACGACCAGAGAAAAAGTCAAGAACATACAATATGCTGCTCAACATCCTTGCAAACAACACTCCGGCCTCCAACTTGAACTTCAACAGGCTTGTTAAGGATGCGTCGAGCAAGGGCTTCCATCTGCCGAGGAAATGTGGCTGAGAACATCACTGTTTGCCGGTCAGGACGAATGTTGTCTACAATCCTCATCACCTGTGGCTCAAATCCCATGTCAAACATACGATCCGCTTCATCCAGCACAGTATATGTCACTCGCCTCAGGTTTGTCACCCGTCCTACGATTAGTACAAAGTCAGTATTACCATACTGGGAGAAAATAAAAATAACACCTACACAATAAAAGGCATCAACCAAGAGAATCTATTATGTCTATAATTATGTCATAATTGAAGAGACCATTGTTGGCAGCCAACATGTCGATCATGCGACCAGGGGTGCAGACAATGATTTCAGCCCCTCGTTTGAGTTCAGCAATCTGTTCTGAGATCCCAGTCCCTCCATACACTGATACAGCACGGATCCCCAAAGACTTGGTGAACTTCTTGCATTCCTTCCCTATCTGCATGCATAATTCTCGTGTAGGAGTCATGATGATAGCTGCAAAGTCATACACAAGGAGATCACATGGACATCATTCACAATTTGCTCTCATTTGCTTCAGGATATATAAGATTGTCATTACTGCTTCAAGATGCAGGAGTAGAAAGACATAGCAACAAGTGAAAATCTAACAAGCAGCAACTAACCTTAGTGGTGAGTCAAGACAAAAAATCCTAATTTAAAAGCTTAAAGAAACAAAAGAGGATGTGTGACTCACAAATGGGTCCATCTGTGTCTTCAAGAGGAGGTTGGTCCATGATGTGTCGAAACATGGGAAGGAGGAAAGCCAAGGTCTTCCCACTTCCAGTTTTTGCAATCCCAATTATGTCTCTTCCTGTCAATATGAAGAGGAAAATTTCATCCATAGCTGCAAGTACAACAATGGCTCTGTACAACCCACTGCTTCTCTAATGCTTAGTTTTTTTAATTTATTGTTGAAGTCAAGCTTGGTTCTAACCTAATCAACAGGACCAAGAAAAACTTATAATAGCCAAGGATGCTCATTTCCCACATTGTGGTAAGACATGAGCTCTAGAATTCATGTTCATGGCCAACCCCTGCTACAAGTTACTTCTCTCATTTTCTACCACTCTCTCTGCTCCATTGTGAAGGCTTGTCTCTTTGGCTTTTCACAACCCTGGTGTCAACAAGAAAAAAGTAAATAAGGATCAGGATAAGATTTCTTGGTGACTGGGTATTTTCCCTCCTTTCATTGTCATGCTCTCTGCATACAGAGGAGAGCCTCTGGGAATGGAAATGCAAGAAAAATAAATTTTGGGTTTTTTTAAAATTATCATTATGCTCAACAATGGAACTTCCAGTTATTCTAGACCATGATTAAGAAATAACTTCACAATGTGGCCAATTTTATTAGTTGAAACAAAAATTGACTTCTTTATAACATAGGTTCTCACAATAACCAAGCTTGCTAAAATCAATGCATGAATATGTGGATTATTCAAGTCATTCCTGGGCTTTCCTGTACTGTGACAAAACAGGATTAGGTAAATCAAGGAAATTTAGTCTATTTCTTGGAGTAACCCTCTTCTATATATATTCAATTGCTTCATTTCTTCATGAGCATTCATAGAGCTGTAAGATATACATATTTGGGCTGACCTTGAAACCACTGAAGGACACAAACTAGCACTTACTGATTTCTGCCCATCCAGATAGATCTATAAGGATCTGAATCACTGATAATGAAATTGGGCCCAGTTCAACTAGTTAAAGAAGCAATCTCCCTCACTTTCAAACTGGTCATTCAGCTCCAGGAAAAAGTTTTGCATTCCTGTGTCTGAAACATGATCAGGTTCTGGAGCAACTGTTGGAATTACACTTTCCAGAACTTCAATAGCTCAGCAAATTTTTTTTTACAGATTCCCTATGCTTATCAAACATGGCTTTGTAATTTTCCACACCTTTAAATGACAAACCACTGTTATTCATTCATTCACACAAGTGGTTTAGGTCAGGTTGCCACAGTGATGCATCAGGATACTCAGCACCACCAGAACACTGTATCCCGTTATGAAATGGGGAAAACCACTCACCTTCACTTCACCATGAAAGAGTAGTGTCACCATACTTATCTAACATTAATTTTAGCAGGTTTCGTATCTTCTTTCATTATATATCCTGCTATAACGTGCTGTCCATCAGCACAATAAAGCAGACAAAAGCCATCTTGAATCTACCATGTCAAGTTGATTCTGAGATGATTGCACCACAAAGAACTTTTGAATAACATGCAACACTATCTGTATTAAAAGTTTCATGGATCTGCACTCTTGCCATATATGGGGCAAAATTCCGAGAATGACTTCAACAACCCTCGTACATGTATCTTATGGGCTTTACACTGGGGCCAGGCCCTAATCAATGCTATAACCAAGGTCTTGTTATTACCAAGGATGTTATAATCAAGTTCAACTGTAAATGCAACACCAATATCAGAAGGTTGCCAATATAAAAATTATTAACACTGGCCAATATCTAAGTTGGTACTACCAGATTCTCAAAATAGGAAGCTGACAATATCCATAGCACAAAACACCCACTCTGCCTTATGAACTTACTCTGCAACCTGTTGAATCTAGTTGTAGATGTATCTCACAAGAAGTGCAAGTGAGAAAAGGCTGACTAACCTGACATGATGACAGGAATGGCCTGTGCTTGAATGGGAGTGGGTTTCTCATAACCACACTTTTTCAAGATGTCAAGAACCTTTCTGGACACACCACATTGAGCCCATGTCTTCACAGGTCTTGGGCATCCTTTCCCACGCACCCGAATCCCTTCCAGCTCTAATCGATATGCCTGTACTTCCTCAGCTGTCATCTTTGCAATTTCAGGCACTTCCACATAGAAGTTCTTGCGAAATGGCAAGTACTCAATGGTGGAATGGTCCACCTTTACAAGTTCCTTCCTCCCCTTGTTCAGGAGCCCTGTCATTGCAGCACCAAGGTCATCATCATCTTCTTCTGATGAATACTAAATATGAGACAGAAATGGAATGATAACCAACACTTTTATATAGGCATTTAAAAGTGATAATGCCAGAAAAATTATGAAAAGACCTCAAGGGCATCTTGATTCTGTTCCATGACTTCCCCCTTCTTTGCAGTGGACTGATTGGGTCGAGCAACACCACTGAGAACTGTAAACCGGCTCTCCTGATCAACTGGTCCTTTTGCTGCAGTTTTGGCAGACCCAATCACAATCCCAGATGTCTTCTTCATGTCTATTTTGTTTACTGCCTTCACCTCATCTTGTACTCCCTTAAATGTATCAAATATCCTTTAGAGCTTTCATCAAGTCATCCTGGACCTAAATTACTTTTCCAGTCCATAATGCTAGTCAGAAAAATACCGTTAGAAAAAAATTATCATGGAGTTCCAGCACATCATTTCATACTTCATATTAAACATCAGGAGTCATTCAAGAACCCTTTTGTGAATAGCTTCAAAATAGGTCAGTTATAAGAGCAATAAGCTAACAAACCTGCATATAAGCATCTAGAGGATCTACATCCTCAGTGGTCTCACTATTGTCATTGGCATTTCCTGCTTCTTCCTCATCACTCTCATCCTCTAATGTCCACTTCTTTCCTGCAACTGCAACCTGGATTGCTGCAACAAGAATATTAAATATTTTTATCCCTTAAAAAAAAAAACTATGGCAATGGAATAAAAATTAGAACATAGAATAAATAGATTAGAAATAGGTAGGTCCAATTGGAACATACAAGCCAGAGTTTCTTTGACTTCAGCAAGCAACTGCTTCTTTCTTTCTGCCCTCCATTTCTCAATTCTCTCCTTCCTTTTATTCATCTCAGCCTCCAACCTCTTCTGCTCCTCTTCCTGCCAATAGAATCAAAATGACATTGGCAATGGAACTAGGCCAATAAGGTATTCTCTTCATGACAAGGTCAGTCACAAAGAGTACTCAACAAGTTCTTCACAACAGTCTCTTCTTCTCCTGGGCTTCAGTTAGATAGTAGAAGTCCAATGGGGAAAAAATGTATTGGAAACCTAGATAACTCTTCAATATGGATTGCATGCTTTCAAAAGCAACTCCAGTCCCAAGGCATAGAATAAGTTGAGGCTTCTACTTCTACAAGCTTCTACTTTTGGTTACAAGAATTCGTTACACAATGTGCAAAGGTCATCAGCAACACCCTCCTGTTATTTGAAGAGCTGAATCCAATTGGTGACTATGTGATATGGACACATATTCAACATCTTTGTTCACCAAATCATCATGAATGGTCTTTGCATTCTCTCCAAGCTTGTAAAAATGTAGAAACCATGGCCTTCTTTGAAAAATTCCATTACTTCACCAACAAGCCAAGAGTGGCCTTTCATGATCAGCCAGTCATGATTACTATTCTGACAGATGCAGCTTCTTCAAGTTGGAATCCCAACCATCTTTTGTAAGTGAAAATGATAAGTTCTCATTAATCTTATGGTCACCTTGCCTCTGCACTCCTATGTGACCTGTGACAACAGCCAATCATTTATGTAGGCAACCCTCAAAAAGTAAGCTTAACACTATAAAAAGTGTTCATGCCAAACTTACAGCCCTCCACATCCATCTAGCAAAGTCCAAGCTTATACCCATCAACCCAAGCATATATTCATGTCAATTTACACCTCTCTAAGTGGATTGACAAAGGCACACATTTGTAAATGAAAAAACAATTGCAGTACTCAAGATATACATATTATACTTCAAACATATACTCATGCCATTTCACATCCCTCTGCCTACAATTATTTAAGCACAAAGCAATGACTAACGCAAGAAGCCTATATGCTTAAATAATACACTGCATGTCAATTGAAGAGGATATTTTATACTTTCTTGTCTAAAAGTAACATGGATGCATTTTTTTTTGCAAAATAAATGACAGGCAATTTATTTCAACTTATTATTTAAAGTTCAACAAAATAAGAAATTAAGATATTTCTTTGGTTTTGACACATTTTAATAACAGGTAACAGCAGAATTCTTCAAATACAACTGAAAATACAAAACATTCCCTTCAATTGACATGCAGAGTAACTTAACCTGTAGCCCAAATTTGGCCAAGTCTTGGCTTGCTCTGGCATCAACAGGACAACCTTATCCTCACCTATCACCTATCAATCACCTATTCCTATAAACTACACAAGCACATTGGATGATCCAATTCCACCATTCACTTCCTTTCCAACCCAACCATGATTCCCAGTCAATGGATATGTTGGCATCTTCAAGCTCTTGAATTGAATTGCACATTTCTAGAAATAACTTGCAGGCTTCAAATATCTTTGGGGAAAACTCTGAATACATGATTGATGGTTCTAATGTCGTAAAACACCTAAGGCAAAAGTATTAAGTTAAGGAAGAAGGGAATGGAATGAACCTTGTCCACTGAGGAAGGATCGAAAGGAGCATCTTCATCTTCCTTGTCTGGATGGATGACAGCTGGTCTTGTATCCCTCTTAACTACAGCAGTAACCAGCTCAACTTTGGGCTTCTTTTCTTCAACAGGGCCAAGAGTTATTTTCTCCTTTGATCTTGAACGTTTGTGCCTGTCCCTGCTAAAGGTGAAACAATGACTTTTAATTTTGAGCTTTTGGTTCTATTAAACCTTTTTCAGGGTGCATGGGAAAACTATCAGGTATCTTAGGGCAACTCTTATTTTTTCCAAGACCTAATCCACACATAAATTCAATCATTTGGTAGGACTTTGACCTCCTCTCTTTGTCAAACTGCAGAAATAAGTTTTTCCATGAATGGTCAATATACCTTACAATAAATAGTTGTTCAAAACATGACTCTGTTCTCTACAATGCATAGAGCTTTTCATGAAACTGATAGAAATTAATCTTAGACATTCTTTAAACATGACTAACAAAAATCTGAGGCATGTTGACTGCTAGCTTTATGTAACTAATATTTTTATGCTATCAAGGATGAAGGTTGTGACTCAACTGCTGTAAAAGAGGAGCAAGGCCAGATCTTGAGAGAATAGTAAAGTGAAGTCCTACATATGTGGATTGAGCTGAAAGTTTCTAGCAGCTCTGTCACAATCAAATTTTATTTAATTATTAATTCAAATTTGCTCAAAGTAGTCCCCACCAACTTCAATGGTATGGGTCATCCTGTGAAACCAATTCCCAAAGCAAGATGACCACTTCTCAAGAGTGACTGTATCCAGGACCTCAGCAAGAGCTTCAATGGCAGCATCTTCACTCTCAAATCTTTGTCCTTTGAGCACTTTCTTGGCCTTAGGGAACAAAAAAGGAGTCAGATGGGGCCAAGCCAAGTGAGTAGGGTGGATGTGGAATCACCTGGACCCCTGAGTTGTGCAAAAACTCAATAGTTCTGGCAGCACTGTGGGTGCTGGTATTGCTGTGAGCAGCATGATGCCACAAAGTCCAGTTGCCAGGAGAATATCATTCAGCTCCTGGAACACTGGAGATAGGCAGACATCAACATACCAAGCAGAAGTCACTGTCTTCTGCTCCACAAGTGGTACAACCTCCACCAGACCACATCAACAGAATAAAACTGTGACCATACACTTTCCAACACTGCATGATTGAACCACTTTTGTAGGAGGATCTTCATATTCAAAGACACATACTGCCAATTGCTGCTTTGTTTCAGGGTCAAAACTGTAGATCCAGGTTTCATCTGCTATGATGATTTGTGACACCAACTTGGACCATCCATTTTCAAATTTCTTCAGCATGAATTGAGCCCAATCCACATGGACCTGCTTTTTCTCAGGTGTCAACAAATGGGGGATCCAACTACTTGACAGCTTTTGGAAGCCTAGGTGTTTGCTTGTGCCACTGCCAAGTCCATTCTCAGTTCCTCCATGATTTCACACACAGTGATGTTCCTTTGCTCTTTCACTATATGATTGACCCATCTAATATTTTCAAAAGTCACAACTTCTGATGGTCACCCAGACCATTGGTCATCCTCAAATGACAGCCATCCTCACTTGAACTCTCTGAACCAGAAACTAACAGTCACAGATGATGGAGCAGATTCCCTGAAAGCTTAACACAAATTCTGATGACATTGGTCATAAGACAAGCCACATTTGAAGTAAAAATATTACATGATCTGATAGGTCAACCATGGAAGTTTGCCAATGACAGTAGCCTTGATTGCAACTACCTTGCACTCTAACAAACAGAATGACTCTCAATCAGCTGATGGAAGCATAATTTCCCTGAACATGGTCAAACATGCTACCCTTCAGAATGAAATAATAATGACTCTCAATGGCCTCATTGCTTGGGCACTGCTAGAAACTTTCAGCAAAGTCCATGCATGAAGGGAGTAGCAAAAAAAGACAAACAAATAGTGCACAAACACTATTTATAATCACTGTATAGGATGTCCCATAAGTCTGTAACCATAAGCACACATACAAATATATACCGGGTGGCGCAAAAAAAAAACGCGTCATGTTTGACATCTTATAAAATCCATTGTGGATGGTCTATGTTTGTGATGTTTTCATATTACATTGGAAACACCACAAAATTTGTTTTCTGAAAGATTCATTAACCTAAGTTGTCTGAATAAATATCAACAGTTACCCAAAGTGGACTCATAAAGTGGACCTTTCCGTGCATGAGGAGGATGGAGTTTCAGGACCGCTCGAATGACTTCTTTACCTTGATGTCATAAATACTGCTTTTTATGCCAGTTCTCATCATAGTATTCAACACATTGTAGAATAGTACTACTGTTGTACATTGTAGCATCAGAATCGATACCGTGCAGTATGCTACTGTGAGAACTGGTGTAAAAAGTGGTATTCATAATGTCAAGGGAGAGAAATCATTCAAGCAGTCCTGAAACTCCATCCATCTCATGTGCAGAAAGGTCCATTTTATGAGTCCACTTTGAGTGACTGTTGATATTTATTCAGACAACTAAGGTTCATGAAACTTTCAGAAAACAAATTTTGTGATGTTTCCAATGTAATATGAAAATATCACGAACCTAGATCATCCACAACAGATTTTATAAGGCATCAAACACAACATGTTTTTTTTGCGCCACCCAGTATATTATAGAAATGTTCAATTCATCAGGGCAATGCCTATTGGTTCACTAGGTACACTGTGACACTAGGTACACTCTACTCACATCATCATTAGATAATACCATTTCTTCAACTTAGTTCATCTAAAATATGAAGAAAATACACTGAAAATAGGCTACAATTTAACTAATCACCAAAATTGTGACCCCACTCACTTTCGATCCTTTCTCTCACGGGATCTTGATCGATGACGATGTCTCTCACCAGAACGGCTTCTGGTTCTATGCAGACAAGAAAATAACAAAACAAGTCAGACCAATATTTTTGGAGCAATCTAGGTCAGGCTTAGCCAAGGAATAGGTATACATAATGGGCTGAGAGGATGAATAAATCAATCCATCTTTTTTTTTTCATTAAAAGAAAAGAAGGAAGACAACTAAACTACAAACTTGGTCATAGAAACTAGGGGGAGCAAGGACAACAATAAGTACAAAAGACAAGGTATTTCATAGGAAGAAAGAAAAAAAGAGAAATAAAGAAAGAAAATGGAGATAGGAAGTCTCACAAAGAACTTGAAGGTTTACCCTGGGTTGCCCAGGTTGGAATGTACCTTATGAGACTGTCCTGGCAGACTAACCTGCTAATCTGCCAGAACTGCAAGATAAAAAAGTCTGCTTCTAGTGAGTGCTAAGTCAAGTGAGAAATTGTCTGACTCAAGTGAAAAAACACTCGACATGAAAAACATGAAAGGCATAAAAGACAATGTCTACTAAAGCTACAAGGCTAATGACATGCATGAAGAAAAATACAATGTCAAGTCATGCTGTTTTTCAGTAGGTTATGACACATCTCTTCATGAGAAGAAATAAATTTACATGCTCAATGCAGGGTGGCATACATTTCTTACTGAAGGTTTTAACAGCTCCATGGTAACTGCATACCCACCCTCTTCCACTCAGGACTAACAAGACTTACCATTCACTCCAATTTAAGATTCCCTTGAACCTAGAACTCATACATGTATCTTAAATGCAAATGCACAGAACAGGAAAAAAAATTATTTTTGCATTATATATACAACTTGAGTTCCAAAGCTAAATGGGCATACAAGACCCATAGATCTGCCATCTATATAGCTCATCAAGACACTCTGCTAGCTCAGATTCAGTAAAGATTGTGCTTCTTAAATGTGTCAAGGATCATTTGAAAATTATAAATTTTCAGAGGTTTTGTGCTCAGGTTTACTTGAACTCAGGTATATATCCTGCCCCACTCAAAGGACCTTTAAGAAAAAGCAATAGGTGCAATAGATCCTCACAGAATTCCATGTTTTATCCTTTTATATTAGTTATCTTAGCCTTTATATCCAACAAATTGTTCTCTGCTCGACAAAGGCTGATGAACCCCTCTAGTGTATCACTCCATAATCCTATTTTTCACCAAGTAAAATAGCACCAAAGACTTTTTTCAACTTGAGAAACACACTGAAGGCATTTAAAGGCTTGTCAATTTCATTCTACAATTTCTCAACTAAATTGGTCTGTGCTAATTGTCTATTTGCTTTTCAAGAACTAATACTTATTTTCAAAGAAAAATCATGCTTTATCCAGGATTTCATGATTCTACCATATAGCAATCTTCCTGCACCTTGTTAATTATGAGTTATCTTATTATTTGTTTTCAATTTATTGTTATCTTTTGTGCAATGGTCCAAACTTTGGCAAAGAACTAATCATAGGCATTATCAGCATCACCAGAGTCTTGCACTTCCTTCTAGCAGATTTTGAATAAATGCATGCATGCACTAATGCACTCATGCTTTATTTTCATAAATTTGAGCATTTAAGGCAATTGCTATGATGTGATTAGGCATAGCCAAGGCTTCATAGGCCTAGAGCATAGGCTCATATTCAAGCTTAATATTCAAACCTGTGTCTCCTGTGTCGTTCTCTGGATCTGGATCGGACCCTTCTCCTCCGAGGGCTTCTGGAACCCCTGTGACGATCTCTAGCCATGCTATCCAATTGTGCCTTTCAGTTTCAATTTATTCTAAATTAAATGAGAGCAAACCACCACATCAGCTTGATGAATAAATACTCCAAGACATTAGAGTCAAGCAAGCTTTCATTCACATGTGAATGAAAGTCTAAGCAAAACAAAACAAACTCAGGGATGGACAACTTAACCTTTAAAGGGCTAATTTTATACACATAATCATAAATGAATTCCTAGTTGGCCTAATGTAATATATGTTCATGTCCACACACATCACCACTACCTTTTGTATCACTGAAACTGGCAAAAATATTAATATTTTACCAGTGATCAGGAATTCTGTGCAAAAAGCCATTTAATTTCTGACTGTAACCAGGCATGGATGACTTAAAACTCAGATGCATGACCAAATATATACATGTTTCCATAGACTGGGTCTTTGGGACCCACTACCAAAGTAACACATTTTATTTAGACTTTTGCAAAGAACATTCAATTTATTAAAGGAATGTCCACTTCTATAAATCAAGAATTGTACTCACTAAACATTTTTTTAATTCATTGATATGGGTCCCAAAGTCCCATGTCATGCATCCTAGGGTTAAAATTCCATCCAATGAAGGTTAACCCTTCCATAGTCCCATAGTTTTTACTCTCAATAGTTGTCAGGGAGAAATTCATAATTAGTTGCATGGGGTGAAAAGTTTGCATAGGCGTATTTGAGAAGCACACTCTGCTTGTTCAGGAACTACAACACATTGAACTTGGGAAGGTCACTGAACAGTACTAAAGCAATCAAGCTCAAGCAAAACAAGTTCTTCATGTACTTGCAATGGTGGGGTTGGAATTATAAAATATTCCATGCAACTTTTGCAGGGTTAAAGTATCTGTCAATACTCAACCAGAAAGTGCTGACAAAGGTAATTCCATGAAGGCCTGAAAGCATAACATCTTTAAAATGGCTAGGGACACAGTTCTTCTGGGATGAAACAAGGGAGAGTAAATGCAACCTAGAGAAGGAATGCAATGTGGAATAGTGGAGTTTTTAAGCTCTTGCCAGAGAAATAAGGTGAAAGTTTCAGATAATATGGTGATACTAGGAAGATAAGGGATAAGGGACTTTTCAAACAGTACTCATCTAAACTCTGCATGCATCAAGGAACATTAGTTAATCCTGGATTCTGATTTTTCGATTTTTGAGATGAGCTCGCTAGTGGAGGGTATACAAAGAAGGCAGCAGTCAGTTAAATGCAGTCTGGCACGAGCTTCATTATATTAGCGGATAGTCAACTTGCAGTAATCATAGGGGCAAATTGAGTCCATGGTTCGGGATCCTATTTCTACCTGAGGCGACCACTGCCTAATCAGGACAAAAGATATATCTTTTGCTTAACCTAAATTTGACAAAATTCAGAAGGTACTGGCAGCAAGAACGTCCTGCGGTCGAACTTTCGAACTATGAATGCTTTCTGGAGGACGCCATGGTAGGTCGAGGGGAGACACCTATCTTGCCATAACTAAACTTTCCTATTATCTTCATTAAACAGATGTAGGGTCCAGCTTGAGGTTGGATGGTTGCTAAGTTCCGAGACGTAGCAGCCCGTGGCGGGTGGATTCTGCATAGTCCATGTGTGAGGTAGTCACTCTCTCCACTTTCGGAATGTTTTTGTGTTGATGTATGATTGTAGCCCCTGGGGGAGTGACCTCTGTGCAGCCCAGCCGTGGTATGTCTTAAGAACAATGAAGGACAGTTTCAGATTAGGATAAGATCTCTTGGTGGCTGGGTGTTTTCTCCCCATCCTCACGCTAACCTCTCTGGTCCACCAGGAGTGCAGGGTACAGGAAAAATAAAAGCAAGAAATTTTTGGGTTTCCCATGGTAATAGTGTCAAACAACGAAATTTCCTATTATTGGGGAGCATGACGACAAACTATTAACTTCATGACATCAATTTTGTTAGTGGGACAAAAGTTAACTTCTCGAGATTTTCGAGAATTTCGATAACAAAGATTTTCGCAATAAAAAAGCAAAGTGAAGTATAAATACAGCGTGGGTGGAAGTCGTTTTATACCTGAGATATTAAGGCCCGAATACTGAAACCTACTTTAGTTAACGGTCTTTTAAGAATACATGGACTCCTATGGGAGTCAAAGAGCTCTTGGGCTTATATGCCCTTTATTTCCCCCAAATGAGGTGCATTCGGGCCATAAAGTCATGGGGATCTGTGTGAGCCCCATCGATGTCATCGATGGATACATCGTCATGTCCTTGGAGATATATTCAAAATTGCAGATGTGATTGATGCATGCGCTTCACAAACAACGACTTTCAATTCCTCTGTTGTCCGGTAGCACTATTTTGCCACAATTTCTTTGATGTATCCCCACAATGACTACTACAGTATAAGATACAGGGACTTCCCGCCCACCCAGTACATACATCTTCAAAGTTGCAGGTCGGGGCCAAACCTCATTCGATGTTATAACCAAGATCGTTAAACCGAGTTCGACTGTACTTCTTATTTATCTTTTTTTTAGTATTTCTTATCATCGTGCAGATGTCTCCTGCATCCACTGTACGTGACGTTTTGGTACTTAACCCTCCTCCAGATTCCAGCAAAGTCTTGTCGGAACAGCCCTTGACATTCGTGTATCAATAAGAATTCAAGGGAGAGTATAATATCTAAGAGGGGTAAATCTACTGAATGATAAGTAGGGAGAGAATTTTTATGCGCTAATAAGCGCTAAAATATGCACATACATATGCACCTAAAAATGTCAAAATATGCATGTATTATCCACGAATGTGGAAAGATATACAAAACCATGTTTTTTAAAAGCAGTACGAATTTTTCGAAAGAAGGAACTTTAATGTACATTTCATGCCTCTGCTAGGTATAGTTGATCTATTCTTGTCGCAATCAGCGACAAAGCCAGGAACATGTCAATGGAGGGCTAAGGGAAACGAACGGAGCGAGAATTTCCTAAACTTCTCGGGAGGGGTGGAGGTGGTGAATGGATTTAGAGCATAGTTACGGGGCTTCCCGGGAATTTTTTTTTAATGAGCTACCGATGAAAATATAGTTACGGGGCTCCCCCCCCCCCCCCCCCCCCCCGTCCATACGCCACTGGTCACAGCATGTAACCGCTGGAAAATTTTCATCGGTAGCTCATTAAAAAAAAATTCCCGGAAAGCCCCTATTTTTCTCCTAAAAATGGGCGAAATATGCGTAAATATGCACATGCTGAGAAAAACGTAAAAATATGCTTTTTTATGCTTTTTTAAAATGGCAGAAGTCGCTTCCTCTACCAATATGACATGATCCTACCTGGGTTGCATGCCCCTGAGAGGCTGCAGGAAAAATATGCCTTTGCATGAAAATCCGCTCTCTAGCGTTGAACAATAATCAAGGACGTAGCCAAATCCATCCATCCATATGCATAATTTATCCATTTACATAAGATACTAATCTGTTTGTGTGTCATTCTGGGAAACTCCTCCAGATGAATTAACGAGTGAGGTGCTAATCGAAAGCTTATGACTTGGAGGTGATACTCATTGAATCAAAAGTCCAAAACGCCTTCCCATTTTTTACGCATTAGTGCCTAATTTCGGCGATAAGAATAGCATTTTACTGAATTCCTTCCCGGGCGAAGTTCTAACAACTAACAATGAGAGTACGAGGCATTGTCGGCAGCGAACGTTGTTGCTATGGCAACTGCTGGCAATGTTCTTCACGTGTCATAGTTTTGTCGCGTTTCCGGTCCCGTCTTCGGTTAGCCACGATGCTTCACGTAAGTCTGCAGCATTCAGTTAGTGCTCTATATTACTATTTGAATTTTAATTCGAATGAGAGCGGCGCGCACGAAACGCTCTCATTCGACAAATTTAATCTCGTGCGTGCACAGGCTTTTGCACTAGGACATAATAAGGGCGAGCGAGTGCAAATGATAGTTGACAAATTCATTTCTGACTCAAAGCTGCTCAGAAATCACCATTTCTCAATATTTTTTATTGCATTAAAAGTGAGCTTCCTCGGCCATGAGTCACCATATTTGCTGAAATTTTTATTCGCAAAAAATTGTGCGAATTCTTCACGATGTGTTCTTGGTGAGATTTATGTAACAAAACACATGCTCTCCCCCCAGGTTTGCCACTTTGAAAACACCCCACTCCTGCACTCAGAAACGAAAAATGTGACAGCCTTTTGCCTATCCACTAGCCTGAATTACGATAAAAAGTAATTATAATAACAATGATAATAATACTACCTACCTCGATAATCCCCAACGGGGATGTCTAGAGGCAGCATCAACATCAATGCAGAGATAGCAAAAGTCGTCTGCGCCGGATCTGAGAATCTCTGCTCCCTGCACGTCTTAAAATAGCGGCAGGAAACATCTTCGCTCTCCCAGTACTCGTCTACTCATTCTGAGTCCTGTAATGGACAATGTCAGAGTTAGATGAGATGGATTGATCCACGCGGAAGATCATGAATATGTACCTCCCAAGCAACACTAAATGACGTCTATGTGACGTTATCACGTCATTTAGCGCAAGTCACGTTGCAACAACGTTTCATGGACGTCACGTGTTGCTTGGGCTGTCTCCTTCCTAATTCCTCGGTCCAGTCCCTGTACCTCCCGCGCCTCCTTGGAGGGAGAGGCATAATAGAAATGCTTAATTTTCATCATGACCGTGTCATCATAGGGACCACAGTGAAGAAGATGCCCTCCTATGATTTGGGGTCTCCCTTGAAAGTTCTGGGAAAGGGCCTTCCTTTTCCATAAGGCAAGGTTCACTGCCGAGTTTCTGGGCTTGAACCTGAACACAGGAGTGCAACCATCATTAGGTGATAAGCTCTTCAGGGTCACAGTTGCTGAACAGGGTATTCTGCAAAAGCACCTCACCAAACGGCTGCACGGACAGTTTCTTTTTTGAGACGCTACGCTCACATGCGTTTCATGGCATGGCGTTGTGTCTGGTCCTCGAAGTCCATTTCACCAATCGATTTTGGAAAAGCGCCGAGATTTCAATCAGTACGCATTAGAAATTCAGTGTGAGATTTGTTAATGTGGCCCCCAACCACCCCTGAAGAGTTTCATCCTGCCCGAGCTAATCCCTGTTGTAGAGCACGAAATGTTTGCCGGACAACATGCGGCATCCAGTTGCTGCCTGAAATATTTATGGATACATTGCAGGATTGCAGTCCAGTAACTGGCCCTGCTGGATTGGATCTTTCAGTCCAGCATGCAGTTGCAGCATTCAACATACTGTGCAGCAGGAATATGAACTCGGTCTGACTTTTAATAAGGTAAACTGGAAAATGGACGGTTGTTCTCGAAACAATCACTGGGAGGGCCACACGCAGGGATCTAGGCCTTCTTTTGGACCAGCGGATCTCAAGCTCTGGACAATAAAAAATTAGTAGTATCGGAACGTCATTGAAAGCCGACTTGGGAGGGGTGGCGATGCATGCATAAAGGGCCGCGCGTATCTCCTTGGCATTGAAATTCTCGTCCACGACCTCTCCTCACATGTTCCTTCCCTTGTTCAGCAAATTCCACTGTCCTTCCCCCTCAAGCCTTCCATCCCCCTTCCAGTGGATTAGAGCAGGTTCCATGGAAAGGCTGGTCTAGGTTAGAATAGTGATTGCTCAGATTCACCAGCGAAAGGGGAGAAGCACCCCCCCCCCCCCCCCCCCCCCCCCCACACACACACACACACACACACAGCCGTGGCAGACGGGCTGTGGCATAGGGCTAACTACCATCCCTCGTTTGTTGTGATTCTCGGACTCATATCTGTCTGAGCAGCGGTGGTTCGTCAGGGTAGACAAGTTAGGCCGGGCCAAACGCGGACTGAGCGAAAAAGACAAAATAAAAAATAAAAAATAAAAAATAAAAAACAACCGTGAATTACAAGCAATTTTCAGTTTATTTTAGCCCACTTAATAACGCCTCGTGGCAGAATTGTCTTCGAACTTCCTTGTTGGAGTCAATAGCATTTAAAGAACTAGAGGAGAGTAATCCCATAAATAAAGAGTGAGAGAATTGTCTCGTTAGTTGACTGGTCGGTTCGGGCTTCTCCCCTTTCGCTGGTGAATCTGAGCAATCACTATTCTAACCTAGACCAGCCTTTCCATGGAACCTGCTCTAATCCACTGGAAGGGGGATGGAAGGCTTGAGGGGGAATGGACTGTCTCACGGCGAAGCGAATGGACTGGGACAAAGGCCCAAGTGGCCTCAGTTCTACGTTGCCATATCAATGCAGAAATGCCAGATGTTCTCTATTTTCTCTCCTGCCCTCAGGCTTCCCCTGGCGGTTGATATATCAATTAAATTCACTTTGAATATTTTGTAAGTTTCATTACTACGCAAACATTCGGATTGCTTTATAATATGTATACTATATCGATATTAATGTAACATTTGAAAAAAAAAACATTGTACATACGGAATCGGAGAGTGAAACATGACACCAGAAACACAAACCCCATTATACACTTTATAACTAAAAGTATTGGGACAAGCCTCCCTCCGCCGATGACAGATTGTCTCAAAGGTCATGTGCATTACGGTAGTCCAAAGCTTATCCAAACGTTATCTGCAATCTGCTACAGTGTTTGCCAGTATGGAGCGTGGATCGGAGTACGTGGTCATATCGCAGGTACCAGGGTACCTGCGGTATGACAACCAGCAATCATTTCATGTTCAGGCTGTCAGCTCCGATCAACGAACCACACTGGCAAACACTAACTAGCAGATTGCAGTTACCTTTATATACCTTTGGACTACCGTAATGCACATGACCTTTGAGACAATCTGTCATCGGCGGAGGGAGGCTAGTTCCCTATACTTTTGGTAATATGATGTACAGTATAATAGGGTTCGTGCGGCTGGTGTCATGTTTCACTCTCCGATTCTGTATGTACAATGGCTGTTTATGATTATTTTTAAAGATTACATTAATATAGTGATAGAAAATTTATTATAAGACAATTTAAACGTTTGCGTACTTATGAAACTAATAAATATTAAAATTATATTTTAAGAACTCAAATTGACTAGCGTTCCTTTTTCTATCATAGTAATAGATGACAATGTCATATTTGTACTGTATTCTAGGCTTCGACAATCAAGTGACGAGAAGAAGCGAGAAATTCTCGAGAATCAAAATCTCAAATTTTGTCGAAAGATAGGGCAAAAGCTCCAGCGTTCGCAAGGTCTGATACGAAAACTCGAAAGGGCCCCCGAAATGCTGTTTTCCTTGTGGCAGGTTATGAACGGCTCTCGCGGGTCAGGTTCGACTCGTGACCTCTTCCTCTCCGATTCCTTTTCAACTTTCACTGACGTCATCGAGCTGATTAATTATTGGAGCAAACGATAAGGAAGGGAAAGGAAAAGAAATTGATGGATTGCATCCACTTCCTAACATCCTCTTCCCTTGGTGCCGCCTCTGTTGGATAGGTTCTTCCTGACAATGAAGGAATAGGTGCCAGGTTTCGTGTTTCTGTCGTGAGAGATAAGCATTGCCTCAATAGGAAGGTCTCTTCCCATAGTTTCTTAATTGTTTACTTCTTGTCGCACACTGAGTGTTTTAAAAGATACTATTCGTGTGATGGTACGTGTTTACGGTTGGTTTGCCGAGTTCCTATTTGACTTTCTTCACGGAATCGGCCTTCCGGGTCAGAAACAAGGGCCAGATAAAGCATGTATGCCTACTGGTTCACGGAGGTCCTGTTGCACGGGATTTCCCATAACTCCAAGCGATCGAGGTGTCTTGGAGTACGAGAAAGATGAATAACTAGTTGTTGAGGTTCTTCGAAATGTTTGCGAGTTCTTTTGGATCAAAAACTCATGGATGGCAATATTGGAAGGGCGCAAGGCATACGTGGTAGAAGTACGTATAGCAGACATGGAATAAGGGAATGAACCTGCGCTTACTACTTGAATAGGTCATTCTAGTGAGTGAACCAAACCGTCTATCTCCGATCGGGTCCAGAACCAGATCGATATGGGAATCTATGCAATTCGTGGTAACGAACGAAATAACGCATTTAATTATTTACCTTCAATTTCCCCTTTCCCCAATGATGGATATTGTGGAGGAACGAAGGACGCCTCGTTTGAGGTGAATGCACTTGAAGCGATTGTTCAAGGAATGAGTCAGGCTGCTCCGTTTCCCTGGAATACGGTCCGGCCACCGGAGGATCGAAGATTCAGGTACGCAGGGACGTGTGAGTCAACCTGCACCGTCTTATTCGTCGGACCCCGCTCACAGTAGAGTAAGGTCCATGGACAGCTGCGGTGTAGGCTCGGCAACGGCCTCGTGTGATTGAGGTGAGTGCATGCAAACCCGCCCTTCCCTCTGGTCTCCGGGCTCATTCGCATCATAGGCTCGCCATCATGGTCTGCATCTCTCTCATTGAGTTTATCATCGCTACGGTGTTCTTGGAGTTGCATCCAATGTGGCGGATATCTCGTTTAAAAGCATCTCCAGCTTCGGGACGAGGAGAATGAGAATGAAACCGAGATGGATATGACGGAACACGGCCGACATCAAGAGATCCTCCGCATCAGTCGAAAGAAACTCGAGTCCTTCTTCGGTGAGTCTCTCGTTATTCGTTCAAGCTTTCCAAAACAAAATAAAAAAGGATAAAAGTCTTGTCTCGCGTGTTCTATCAGATCCCGATGGGGACCTGTCCAGGGCCGAGGAATTCTTTCAACGGGTGAGCGTAAATCGCCTTGATATGAGCGAGCAGAAATGCATTTACTTAACAACTATCGACAGAACTGAGCACACGAGAGATAAATTTGCTCTGCAGGTGATGGAGAAGACGGGAACTTTCGTCCGGTGGCCTTCTCGCATCAAAATTGGCGCTCGGTCCAAGAGAGGTAACACATCGCAACATAAATAGAATAACAATATAAATAACAATTTTTTCCCCAATTACAGGAGCACAGCAAAATTTCGAAGTTTTCTTCCCCGTTAAAGTGAAGTAGGCATTGCAACCGTAGCATCAAAAGATTTCCTTGAAGAACATGGCTTCCAGGTTCTCTGTCGAAAAACTATGGAAAAGGGGGGTTCTCTGAAATGAAAACTTCCATGACATGGAAAAAAAAAACAAGGACGAAAGTTAAGTTAATGTAAAATTGTTTGATGACTTTACGCTCACCCTGATCACCTATCCGCCTGCCTACGGTAATCAATGCCGTTTTGTTTCTGGAGTTATCGTGCAATCACGAAAGAGGTGATTGGCTGGAGTTCGGCTTTTCTCAACGTTGAGAGCGGAAATGGAAAGGCTGATTGGAACGTGGAACAGGGAAGTGAGTGCACGTGGATGAATGGAGGGAGGGGGGAGTGTTAATTCCCCCACCGTTGCTGGGTCGACCACGCAGTGTCAATCCCACTCTACTACCTTATTCACCTTGACCTTATTCATTCTCGTTCTCACCCTCACTCACTGCTTTCTCTCTCTCTCTCTCCCCCCCCCCCAATCCCCCCACCAACCTGCCCCGGGTGGGTGACTTGTAGCTGCATTTGATCTTATGGGACGAGAGGTCACTCACTCGTCGAGATTCATGTGCATCAATCCACTGGTTTTTATTCGTCTTGGTAGCAAGTGGCCCCCTGAAATGCGTAGTAGAGCAGGGAGGGGGTGAAGGGATGTCAGCTCTCCCCCTTCATTTCGCCCACCCTCTTTCCCTTATCTCTAGTTCGAATTGCAAGCTTCCCCTTTCCTTTCTTCAAACACTCTAAAGCTGGAACTGTATTTACCCCTGTTCCTTGAATACATGGTTTAGTGCCTCTTTCCGGCCTCTTCTCGTCCGAAAACGTACCCGCCGCAATGATTTATGTCCCGGGACCGATTATCCTGGTGGTAATGTGGCTTACTGGAACTCCGCCCAATCGCCTCTTTCTCTCGGGCTCCCAGCAGGAATAAGCCGCCCATCCAACCCCCGTATTGCCGTAGGCAATATCATGCCTTCGGCCCTCTTTTCCACTGGCTTCACAAGGTCAGGTTCAGCTAGACGTGGTTCTACAAGCGATGTGCACAAACCAGGATGACTCATGTTAGCCCCAGGAGAAGTTTTCGAAAGAAAAAAAAAGGTTACAAAAATATGACGTTATTGCATATTGCCATCAGACATGTAAAAGCAAGGTTTAGCGTAGAAGGGTTTCGATGCGCTACACTTGATGCCCATTCATATCAGGAGCATATATATGGGATGACATCGAATGGCAGCGGGGGAGAGGAAAAGGAATGGGTGGGAGAAGAAAGAAATCCATAACCTCGGAAGTGTCTCGTGGCACAGACAAGAAGAGTGAGGCCGAGCGAGGCAGTTTGCTCCAGGCTATTTGGATCCTGTGGGGGGTGGAGGCGTAAATGCAACAAAAAAAATTCTCTCTCCAGTGCGTGTGTGCCATCCACATATGGTCACACGTGCACTCATTCATTCTTCTGGGATTGGCCAGAGGGGACAGACCGTCTCTGTTTCCATGTCCTTTGAGAAAGGTCGATCATTCCTTCGTTTGACCTGGACCAGGCTGCATCTTACGTCCCCCATTCGTTCTCTTTTCTTCCACGTACTTCTCATGTTCATCATGACCACCGACACTACAGGTAATTCTGTTCGCTCCCATCTTGTGTGTGTGCGTGAGTGCTTCTTGCGTAGTCGCAGGCAGTTTCAGTTCTCGTTTCCGCGAGTTCCTCACCAGACATAGCCGTGTGTTAATCCATCTTCTGCAGCATCTTTGTCCAGCCTCTGCTCGCGAGTTCTGCTCCCGTTTTCGTTCGTCTCAAAGAAAATGTGAATTATATTAATGAGGGAATGCTGCGATTTGCTTAAGCGAGAATCCACGTAAAGGAGTGGTTGTTTTTTTTTTAAAGCTCCAGTTGGACATGTGCGTCTGAGTACCGAGGAATATTCTTGGGCTAGAATCTCGATGAAGACCGTGCGATCAGACCATCTGCGTCTCGAGAAAAAAATTAAAATAGAAGGCAATCCCATCAACCCCTTTTGCTGACATTTCGCGACATTCATTTTTTTTTATTATTCCAGTTAAGAAATCTGGCGTCTGAGCATCGGGGTTCATCCGTAGATATACCATAACCTGTTTTTGGTGAGAACTACCACCCGTTCCCCTCCCCTCGCGCTGTTCCCATTACAGTTTCGCCGAAGGCCATTCTTCCGTTGCACCTTTGTTGCTCCAAGCGCCTTGCGTTTTGAACCCCTCCCTCCCCCCCCCCTCCGTCATTCTCCTGTGAAATAACTTCCCAGTAGACCGGTCGATTCACCAGGGCCGCACTACTATCCCATCTTGTACTACTGGTACGGACCTTGGGAATGGAAAACTCTGCAAAGTTGAACCATTAGCAGGCTCGAGCGTATCGGTTGCCAGCTACTTCCGCATGTGACTGAACGACCTTTATAAATCTCTAGAAACCACGTTTTTACTGAGCACGTTGTTATTTAGCCCTTCCATTTTATCGGAACTCCATTCCGCAATCTCCGGCCACAAGACACTGTCAACACCTGTACCATCTAAATGCCTATAATAACAATTTGAGCAACGAAGAATGTTCACGAAGTTTGAGACTGAATACACGATGCACGGTTGTCTTCGACCGTGTCACAAGATGGGACGGGAAGGTGCATTTCTGACTTGGAATCGAAATATCCCGAAAGAAGCGCGATTCTTTAGCAAGACGAAGTGGGCACGGAAGAACTTACCGCGAGGCGCCTTAGCAATTGAAATATTTTAAGTCGGTTGAAATATTTCAAGTTTGAGAAAGAACTGACTATTCTCGGATAGGAGAGACCCGTATATGGTGTCATTCGGTTGGGAAAATTAATATCTGTCAAAAAAGTGACTGCTTTAAATTGAGTGTCCTATTATCGTTATAGGATACACACTCTGTAACTTTCCTTAGTACAAGTCCCGACGCTTCTAATTTCATTTGAAAGCCCTCGCACCTCCTAATTCAATTTAGTAGCGTGTAAGCCATTCGTTATGACCTATGAAAAAGTCTTCATGCATACTCTTATTGAACTTTGAACTTGAAAGCCTTTTTCCTTTTTTTTTACTCGTCCAAAAGCTCAGAATCCCCCCCCCCCCCCCTTGCTCTTGCCCTGTCCACAATCACTTTCAAGAAGCATTTCCGTTTCGTCGGCAAATATACTCGCGAGGCCTCGACAGAAATCGTTAACACTTTCAGTCCTTGCTATTTGAATACGCCTTCGTTTATCATACGAACGGTTTGGTGTTCGCAGTGTTGACGTAAATCGCGATGAGGTTGTTTGACCCCTCTCAGTGGGACTTCGCTCTCTCTCCCCTTCAACCATTATTCGTTCAGCTACTCCCCTTGCTTGGTTTCCTGCGCGTCTCCAATTTTGCCCGAATCCTCGGGTGAAGAAAGGTATCGAAAGCTTTGTCGAAGTCAAATTATTCAGCGTCCACGGGATTCCCCTTCATCCACCTTATCTGCTATCCAATCGCAAAATTCGAGCAGATCGGTGTGACGATTTCGTCGCCTCCTCGCAGCTGTGCTGAGATTCCCGGATGAGCGAATTTCCCACGAATAATACTAACATGTGATCCCTAAGGATCTCGTGTTTCTATGCAAATTTTCGCATTACTCGTGAGCTTCGCCAGTCACGAGGTGGAGGCATCACGTCCGGTTTTGGTCCGTCCGCATCCAATCAGGCATTTCTACTGATGCGACAGCGTTGAGGGTTTTGAGTTCTGTGCCGGACTTCCCTTTCCTTCGTGGTCCACGATCGGAAATCAGTTTTGGAGCAAGACAGTCTGTCGTCACATGCAGTGGCGTAGCAAGGGTCCAACTCAGGTCGAAATGAATCAGCCCCCCCCCCCCCCCCCCCCCCACTGCTGGGAGGTCNGGGGCCAACCCAGGGGGAAAAGAAACCCCCCCCCCCCCCCCCCTTCCAGAAGTTAGGGAAATTCTAGCCCCCCCCCCCCTCTGGTGAAATTCTTGCTACGCCACTGGTCGTGCATGAATCCAAGGAACTTTAACGGATACGCGTAAACCCATTTATAAGTTCAGCCATGTGGAGTAAGTAAAATAAGCTGCTTCCTTCCTCCTTGGATTGCAAGGTCTACGGCACTAGATGGAACAGCAATGCCGCAGGTTGGTCGCAGTTGAATATATCATGGTTGCGCATTTTCTGATGCCAAATATTGCAATAAACTGTGCAATTCATCGTTGAAACAACTGCGTTGGCAGACTCAGAATGTCAGAAGAAAATATTAATAGTTCCAGTAAAATGGGAACCGCAAAATGAGGACGGAAATTTTCCGTGAAAAGAGAGGAAGTGTTACTCTGCGTAATGTGCGTGTTGCATGATTGAAAAGAAAAACATGACAGAATAATTGGAATGGAGGAGAGTAATTTTTTTTTTGAGCGGATGATTTTGCTTCATTGCAATATTTTGCTGCTTGTCGGTGAATAATGTACCGTAGCTTTTTACACCCATTACTAAGCATCGACCCAAGAACATTGGAGCTGCATAGTACATGCCATTATTCAATCGATCCCACAAGTAATGACGAGTAACGCTTAATGACCGAGTTTTACCAGTCCAATCGTAAGAGGAAAATTCTAAAGAAAACCGAATGCGACACGAGCTTCGACCATTCAAGAATTGGCAGCGTCTACTCATTTTTTTTGGCATGATTTAGTTCAACTCCTGCTCTACCAACTGAAACTGGCGAGAGTAGCCAACATAAGAATGAAATAAATATCTACTTATGTATTTTCAAAATGCACAAATCTCTTCGCTTTATGCGTATGAGATCAAAACAAGGGCATACAAATTTCAAACTAAAATTTTTCTACCTCTTAAAAAGAAGAGGAAGTACAGCGCTAGTAAATTTCGTACCCGTGTTTGTAAGGCGAAGGCAAAAGCCGAAGTGGCTCATCACTGGACGAAAGGATATAAAGGGAAAATAGAGATTTCAACTTTGTGTTTGCAGGTTCTAGAGCAGGGATGCACAACATTTTACGTTGAAGGGCTACGCTAACGCTTAGTGGCACCAACCCGAGCCGCAAGTGAATTTTTTTTTATTCTTGTGATGCGGCAGTTAGTACTTCATTCGTTTGTGAAAAAGGTCCTCTGTAAGGATAAAGTGCCGGTCGAGCAATTGAGCGAGGGCCGCAAATGTTGCCACCGAGGGTTGCAGGCTCTGCTTTTCTAGAGGTTTTCCTGAATTTCGGCGACGGATACTTATGGAAGTAGCAGTGATGCCTTCTTTTAGCATCCGGCAATAAGTTCAGTATGAACTGCGTCACGGTGTAACTTGGAAAAATTTCGTCATTATTTCAGTTGACTAGAACACCCAACGAACTTTAGTACACGCGTTGCTTGCCAAAAGTTAAAACTAACAGGAGAAAGAGGTTTGTTCCCCCCTTTGTTTAAGTTAGACGTGGGGATGTAAGGTGTGTCCTCTCGTGCTCCGAACATCCCCACGTCGGTGACACGAACTCAGTCGAACCTTCTGGACGAAATGTTTTAACATGTTGCAGATCCTCAGATCAAGATCATGGGGGAGCAGGATGCAGTCCTCAATGCTCGAGAGAAGATCCTCGACGTCTTCGAATGCCGGGTCTGTCCCTCTCCATTAGTCGTTTCATGATATGATGCTCTAAATTACATCATGACCGCGTCAAATTAACCCTTGAAAGTGGCCGCTTGAGGTACACTAGCACTAGTGATGTCACTGTATGATTCAAATTTCAAATAATTATCATTTTTAAGAAATTAGCCATTCCTACGGATTCGGATAGGGAAGGAAAGACGCATTCCCGAGTCTTTCCAGTTCGGAAAATGGTTTTGTTGTACCTAGATGATTAACTTCGCCAGCTCAGCTGCATCTCACTTCGGTGCGAATAATGTTCTATGCGGTGTTTCAGCAGCGAGCATCGGTTCTCATCTGAGGGCATCGCAGTAGGTGTCAGCAGCGAAGTTAGTCAGGTAAATGGATCGATGTATAACTATGAAACTTGTAGCAGCGGTATTTCCGCAAACGTTGTCAAAAGCTTCGCTTTGACAGACATTAGGAACTCATTACTTTTCAAAAACGAATTGGGATCAACCCACTTTCCCACACTGTTAGGTTTGAGTGACAGCGCAGATCATTAGTTACAATTTCAGTTCAATGGAAAGACTGGTAGTCTTCCAGGTCTTCCACGTCTTCCACAACCTCAACTTACCCAGTTCTTTGACTCTCGTACGAATGAATAAGTCATTCTTCTCAGGACAGGTCTGGCAAGGTCAGGTCAAGCGGGCAGTCTCTCGTTTGACGGGCTAACAGCATATATGTGACATCGAGGGAGGCTAGTATAAATGCGACTATCTCTTTTCATGCGTTTCCCATTTTATTAATATATCCTTATTCTGTCGAGTACTCTCGTCTGAACTTTCTTATGAATAAGCTTTTCTGGCCCCAGGGGCATTCCAAGGATCTCATCCAATTCATTTTTGCAAAATCGGAAGTGATAAAAAAAAATTGAATCTTAAATCAATGAATTGAACGCCTCTGAATGAACGACTGTCGTGTGCAGATGAATCGAATCAGTTTGAAGATGGAGGTCTCCTACACGGATCATTCGCACATCATCGGTCGAAAGGGAGAGAGCATCAAGAGCGTGATGGATAGCACGGGCTGTCATATCCATTTCCCTGACTCCAATCGCTTCTCGACGACCGAGAAGTGCAACCAGGTCTCCATCGCCGGGGAACCCCAGGCCGCCGAACTCGCCCGGGCACGCGTCCGAGTACGGCCTCAGCTTCTACTCTCAGGTAGCACAGGATAGGTGGGTCGATGCTGGATCTCGTGCTTGGCCCGTTGCTGGTTCTTCTCTTGGGCCCGATCATGAGCACACAGGACGGAACGTCAATAGCTCGAAGTTGGTAGCAAATGTTGGAGCACTGATGAGTCTAGGTTTGTCCAATGTTTGCTCGCTCCGAACTGTGCCTTTTGCGATGCAAATTTTTATCGAGTTGCCTGGATACCAGTAGACATTTTATTTGTGATACCGATTCACTGCGACGCTTTGAAAATAGTTCAAACTGTAACATTGTAAGAAAATAAATGTTAATGTCGTGAGTGCGTATTCCTTCGTAGAGGCACGTGCTCATCCGAACATAAAATTTACCTTTTTGGCTAACATAAAATTTACCTTTTTGGCTGTTTCTCGAAGACGCATCGACTGCAATCGTCACGGCTAACTAAATAGACCATCGACCGATTATTAGCATCACAATTTTCTTTCGACATCGAAATAAACTTCATGCACATGGATATCATCGTTGACACCGCACAATCGTGAAGCCTATGGTAGGTCATACGGCAATTGGCTTGATACCAGTGATGGTAATTGAATTGATTAATAATCAGTGATGAACCAGTCAAGCCAAGCACATGCCAATATCGGACCGATGGTATGTGCTACCTGGGCTGTTAGTTCGGATTGACCTTCCCCTTCCCCCGTTCCTGGCGCTGTTGACAAGGCCAGACGAGAGACACCTAGTGAGTCTGCCTGCAACCGTCTAATTCTGGCGGATTACTCACGAATGACTCGCTCGAAGCCACAGAGCGAGGAAGCCATTCCTATATAACTCAAGGGTCCATAGAAAATCGTGAAGCCATGGAATGGGAGCGTGAGAGTCAATCCGAAAATACAATATATAGCCATCCATTTCTTCGTGTGACATAAAAGTGATTGAATATGCATCCTTCCCATGGATGAAGTAGAGGTTGACTCCGGTGATCTTCAGCTTCGACTTCATCTGCATCTGTGACTCGGACATCTCCCAGTACCCGATCATGAATGAGATTCAGCGGAGTTACAACGTGCAAGTGTTTCTTCGCACCCGCGGCCGGAACATGATCACTGTCCAGGTCAAGGGGAATCAGTGGGAATTACCCGCCGTCCGGGATGCTGCCCTCACCCTCATGCTTCACCTCTGCCAGGTTCCCCCTCTTATCTTCGTTTCCTCAAGAGATCCACAGAGTCTGATGCTTATGTCCATGTCTTATAACCCCTCCCCAAGGGCCAGGTCCCGGTTCACATGACATTGGAGATCTCGCCACAGCATCACGCTCTGGTCCTGGGACCGAATCTGGCTAACGTCCGTATGATCATGCAACGGACGAACACGCAGATCATCTGGCCGGATCTTCAGGATCCCAATCTTCCTTCCTTGAAGCGTTCCACATTCACCATTTCTGGGGCCATCACAAACGTCTACATGGCCAGGGAACTCCTAATAGTAAGAGGCTGCCTCCTCCTTCCCTCTCGAGGATGATGGCAATATTGCATCTCTGGATATCTCTATTCCAGGGTTCCATCCCATTGATATTGATGTGTGACATGCCGGCGAACGTGAGTCTGAACGTGATCACGGTGCAAGAAGTGATGGCGAAGCTGGACGTGATGGTGTACGAGAGACCCAAGACCCGATTGCCCGGTCATCGGACGTTGGTCATCAAAGCCCTAGAGAGGAATGCTGGCAGCGTATACGAAGCCCGGCGTCTCCTCTTGAATCTACAAGATGGGATAGTGCAAGCGGAGATCCCTCAGACCTACATTATGCCCGGTGCCCCGCCACTCCTCGGCCTCGGTAACAAACCTGCCTTTTAATCCCATAAGTCCTAGCTTCTCAACATTACAGGAGACTTATTCAGGAAAACTCCGAAAGAAGGTGATATTCCTATGTTCGTATGAAGTTTGTGTCTGATGTTATTCAGGAAGCTTAAGGAAGCATCCTTAAGTCCTCGTCACACTCACGAATACTGCTGGTATTCATGAAACCCCCCTATCTATGGTAATGAGCCAGCCAAGCATAACTGGTCTTGGAAGCTCGAAAACCAATCCCAGAGTGGAACAAAGGCGTTTATCTTACTGAAATCATGACCCACGTGTCGCGTGTTACCAGAGCCTGCTACAAACTTCCTGCGCGATCCGTGCCATAACTTTCGCTCCTTCACGAAGTTTTAACATTATTGGAGGTCCTGCCGAAACTTCGAAAACACCATAAAAGGCCGTCCCGTTGAAGATTATCGTAAAACCCAAGGATTCAAAAATGCCGAAGGCAAAAGTTCTGGATTCATTATCAAGTTTCTTATCGAGGAAAGTGGAGGAAAGAATGACCGACGACCGAATTTTATCATTGTAGTAATTGGGATGCTCATTGGGGAAGTAGAATGGCGGAAGAATGCATTGCTGAGGAGATTGAGCTTAAGTGTCAAGGAAAAAATGAAATCTCAAGCACGGGATTTTGTGGCTGATAAAAGTAAACTGTTTCTCTGGAGGGAGAATTGCTGAAGTAAATAAATAAAAATTACTGTACTTAAAATTCAAAGGCGATAGGCAAAGTGGACCACCACGTTTCCCATTGAGGAATCACAGGCAAAATATATTTAAATGTGAATTGCCTCAAGGCGAAATATCTTGTGAACACGCCCAGGGTTAATGAACCTTTGCTCTATTGAGGCACCCAATGAAAGAAAGTTCCAAATTTTGCCTCAGTATTATTAGCATCTCTTAGTGGCCTAAGAAGCCACACCTAAGTGCTTACTAAGAGTCAAGGTGTGGTATAAGGAATTATGACCCATTAGGATGCTTTGAGAACATTCGTAGACTTGCGAATATAAATACGAATTTATGTACTTTCGTGAATCTCGAAATTGGAAATGAATCTCGAAATTCATTCTTATGGACGGAGTACGAAGTATTGTACGAGTATCTAATGTAAGGTTTCATGAATATCACATAAGATCTTCGTACGAACCTTGTAAGAACAACGTGGCAGCAGAGGTTTGAATACCTGCTACGAGCGTCTTCCTCATGAGTGAAGTTCAGGAAAAAAAAATTTCGTAAGCAAGGCCCCTGGGTGATTATAAAGAAAGTATCCCACTTCAGGGCGCTATTAGTATAAGGTGAAAAGTTATGCCGTCGCCTACTCACCAGTGACACCTGAGGAATTAATTCTAACACTTACCAAGTACAGGGCAGTTAATAAATATGTACCACATTTTTCGATAGTAGTACTAATTTTTTGCATGCTGAAGATCCACAATAGCTCTAAATAAATTGTAATGTGCTGATCACTCGTAAGTCTCAACTATCACCAGGATTTTTCAATTTCTTCCCTTCATGAATAAGTTCGTTCCTGCGGCTTCGAATAAATGTTACTGGAAGCTTTCTCAACCAGCTGTTACGTGGAGGTAAATTTGCTCCTCTCCTGGAGATATCCTGCCCATGGTGAGCGCACCAACACATTTTCAGCTCCATTTAGTTTCTTTTGTAAGTGTGAAGTATATCCATTATTTCTTGTGCATATTTTACCGAATCGGATTAAATAAAATCAATATTCTAATTTGTACATGTTTGCAGATTCGATGTACATAGAAAGGTTGCCAGAAAAACGAATGTAGGTAGCAGGAGCCCAGAAGGTTTATCAAATGCGTTGAAAGGAGTTCGGGAAGGAAAGACATCCAAGGAAAAAGTTGAAAGAATACGATATTCTACAAGGAATTAAGTTGGACCTTTGCAAAAATAATCCAAGGTCGGCACATTACCCCCAGTGTAGGAGTAATGCGCGCGCGGGTATGATTTTTATGTATTAATATTAATATTAATGCTATTTTATATTTATATAAGTGTTCTTGAGGAAAATGGTCCGGTGGGTCTTCAGGTCTATTCATAATGCAAGTGGTATTCGGTATGTCTCATAAGTACGTGCCATTCGATTTGTCGTATTTTACTGCAGTTGTCAACAGGGCGCAATATCTCCTAAAGGCAAGCACATACCCCCCAGAGGGGTATCAGAAGCCTTTTAAAAAGGAATTTTCGATGGCATTTGATATGCTTTATTGGCGCCCCTGAGACAAGATTAGGTAAATGTTGCAATTGATTCTCTGTGTGCCACTCGTCATTGCCTGTGATGGCACCATCCTACAGTTTAGGCGCCATATTGTTCTGAAGCCGGATACTTTTAATCACCCTGCATGATGAGGTGGAGTCACCAGCGGTTCGCAGGGGGGGGGGGGGGGCCTGTTCAAGTATCCCAAATGGGAGACAAATGTTGACATTCCTAAAAATGCACTACATTAAAATGTAAGTGAACTTTGTTAACCACTTAAACCCAACGGAAGGTGCACTTGCCACATTCTCTTCTATCTTCTCCTCCATGAGTATTTTGGCCACCCGGTTTTTGCCCAGCGCATTTTTGCGGGATGCACCTCGTATAGTGACAGAGTACAGAATAAACAACTTCACTTTCATCCTTAGCGCGATGGGAAGATACACCTAAAGGTGTGGCAAGTTTACTCGCCCGGGGGTCTGAAAAGGAGTTGAGGATAGCTGAATTATGAAGAGTATCCACCATTTGCATATGAAGAATAATGTTTCGTATATGTGATGTAGAGAAGCCGCGTGGTGCGATGAGTGGGTGCTCGCCATTTCTACGTGCGGTGGCGCCGGTGGTGCACCCATTGCTCTTCACCCGGGAGGTGACCACACCGTACATGAACCCACCGACTCGTTGTATTATTGGAGCAACTGGCTGTTGGGGAGGAGGTGGAGGAGGAGGTGGTAGTAGTGGTAGTGGCAGTGAGCAGGGAGGATTCAGCCTGGGATCCTCCATCCCCTCTTCTACTCCTCCCTCCTCTTCCTCTTCCTCCATCTCCCTCTCTCAGCCTCACTCTCATTCTCAATCCCTGGAATCCATCCATGGTATCCTCCTCTCTTCTATGCTGTTCCATAAAGCTCTCTGAGCATCTCGCCATTATTGTCATTGTCTGTCCAGAGTCTAACGAGATGCTGGATCTTAAGGCTCCTGGCTGCGAACGATCTGCCTTAGTCAGGGGTGCCAGTGCCTCTAGTCCAGGCGACTACGAACGCAAGCAACTCTTGGCCAATCGAGGTAAATATCAAGACTTGTTATGCCTTGGAATACGCATGAAATTTGTTTTCATGGAATGACATGGGCCTGTGTATGTGTGTGTAGCGATGCAAGAGCCAGTGCAGCGGGACGTGCCCCGGATCCCGACATCTACGTGGAGCGGGTTAGGATTCTCTCGAAGTGCCAACATCCCGTCTGCCTCTGTCTCATCCACATCTCCTCCTCGTTCTCAACCTCAACCGGACCCCGCCTGGCCAGGCGACAGCGGCGGTGGAGGGGGGGATGCCGTGTTTCGGGATCCCCCAGGGGTGGATGAGGATAGACTCGGGTTGAGGAGGAAGTTGGATTTCCTCATCACTCCATCCCGGTTGAGTGCATCTAATCACATGGATGCCGTGAACGTCCACTTGAGCCCCATCTCGCAACATGACTCCCTACCCGAACTCTTAGCCAAACTCGGCCTGGGCAAATTCGCCGGTTCGTACTCCCTCACACCAATAACTCCATTTGTCACTCTTCAAAGTATGTGTCTAATGACGGGAAAATGCGACAGACTTGTTAGAAAAGCAGGACGTGGACGTGGGTACATTCCGGACGATGACGGAAGAAGACTTACAGAAACTCGGAGTTCGCACTTTCGGTGCACGACGCAAGATGCTTCTCGCCATACAGGGTAAGCGCCTCTTCCATAAAGAAAATCGCGTTTACAAGTTTCATGGCTGCAAACGGTGGCTCACGCACATGTTAGAACGCATTTGTTAAACTTCACAATAGATTCAACAATCCCAAATAACGTTGGGAATTTTTTTATGCTGATATGTCAAGAGCGTATCGTGGGCCAACGTTAGTACGACATTAGTTATTCATATGATTCCCGCGATTGATCCAATATCGATTTCGTATTCAACGACCATAGCTTGGCTTCAATTGTCGCGCACTTCGTTCTTTTTTGTACGACCTTCAAGCATGTACGTTCGTGATTATTTTTTCTGTGGAGGATTTGTTTCCTTAGTATGGTATGACCTATGTTAAAGCCTGAAAGAAATTTAGCTCAAATGATTTTTTCGGCCTTATTACCTTTTGTGCTGTCAACGTGATTTAATAATTTGATTTTGATTTTTAGCGTGATTTTAGCAGGAATTCAGATTTATGCACCAGGAAATTTGGAAGCCTCTAGGTCCGTCATGGCAGCAGAGCATATCTTGCATGGTATAAAAGAAGGAAGAGAAACTTAAATTCGCCGAGAACTGGCGGAATGAGCATAATTTGTAGTTACTTGAAACTTGCAGTGTGATGACAAGCTATCTGGGAAAGCTTTAACGAGTAGAGTCCCATTACAGTGGGGCTTCATTGTATAGCCTCATTGAAGGAAATACATTCACACTCTGAACCTCGATCCCCACAGTTTGTATTTAGAGTGAATTAAGAATAAGAAGTGGAAAGATTGAGGGGCGTAAGCGGAGACCTCCATGACTTCTCACCCTGAAGCGCAGGGGGAGGAATCGGGAGACACTATCGCTCGCCCGCTACGGCAAAGGGTTGAATTGCACACCCCAACAAAACTGGATTGCGAGTGCCTCGCGCAATTTTTAACTGGGAACCTGAATCGAATGTAATCCTGAAAGCGGACAAACCCGAAGTGAATGCAAGCTAGAGATAATCTTTTACTAACGAATGCGAACTGATGGCATACGCTGGATCGGATAAAGCAGAATCGAATGCTAACACCAAATCAAGAGGTAGTTTGCATTACTCACTAGGCTGGAAAGAAATCTGTGGATATGGAGTCGATGCAAAAGACGGGATGAGAGTATGACAGCCAGAAATAGGAATGGATAGGTTCTCTATCCAAGTAGGTGGACTTTATGACCCGTCACCTTTGCTAAACTCTCAAACCATTTAAATGTATTTCTTGCTTGCAGTGGCTGGCTGGCATAAGATCACTAACGTAGTGATGATGTGATACGTCCTCGATGACTTGCATCACGAACCGACTCCTAGAGTTTTTACCTTGGCAGTTTTAGCTCACTTTGCTCACTCTGAGCAAGGGGCTTGGACATACCCGAAATAGCGAGATTTCACTGGAAAAAAGGGAACAAAATGGGGGAAAAACCCAATGAATGAACGGAGGAAAAGCTGTCGTCCCACCACTCGCGCAGTTACATTTGCCTATTAATAATAATTAAGCGCGTAGGACCATCCCACGGGAAGATAATTCCTGCCCACGTTCCTTAACATGGTTGTAACGATTTTCTTTTTTGTGTACCAGAGCTGAACAAGGGTTCTCCTCTTCGAGGGCATTCCTTCGAACGTCATTCCTCGTCCACTTCCTCTATCGGATCCGGGATCTGGTGAGAGACTGGATCATACTTGCATCTCATCTCTCAGCCACTCGAATTTTCTATCGCCTGTACAAGTGTCTCGCTGATTATCAGATTGATATTCCCTCGGCATAGTGTTACTCCAGAGTGTTAGATTTGCATTGTTTCTTCTCTCTGTCTCTTGCCGCTTTCTCTGAAATCTCCTTTCCTAGTTACCTGAATCCAACTCGAAACCAGATGATGATGATGATTTTCTCCCCTTCAAGAGTATTTTTTTTATACTATAAACCGGCCTCTTTATGAACTCTGAGAGATAAAGAAGCCTATAGTGATACGTTTAGGAAGGAAGTAAGGAATCGAAAGCAACTTCAACTTCCCCAACTTCCCCCCCAAGTCTTTCATTTCATTGCAGTGAAAATTCTCATTCTGACGTTGGCATGATTGTTTTTGTCGCTTTCCCACCCCCAGATATTTCCTCCATTTTTTTTTCTCTCACACACGTGAATCGATGTGACTTTAGGGATACGCGTCTCACTCTTCATATGATCAACCGAGATTTGCATGCTGGAACGAGATTTTATCCCGGATTATATATGAATAGATGGATATTAGATAGCTCTCTTCCCATTTCTCGATCAGACTCTTAATCCGAAAATGAAATCGGTATGATTGGGAGGAAGACTGCTTAGATTTCCTCCTCCCTCACTTTTTTTTCGTCTCCGTTTTCCGTTTATCTCCTTCTTCTTTGGGTTCTTGTTCTTTGAGAATTTGATTCCTAGATGGATTGTGATGATTCGGGAAATTTTGGTTTTTCTATCGTTTCCCCCCCCCCCCCCCCTCATCCTTCCCCCGATTGGCAAGTTTGGTCTTCTTTTTGATGGTTGGGATGTTGGTTTACCTGCATGCTTTTGATGGAGTGTGTGTTTTAGATTCAGATTACGCTCAATCTTGCGTGGAACGAACGAGCACGATGGAAAAGAAATAGAGATATATATAAAAAAAATAAAAAAAAAGTATTGTTCTCCCTTTCCTTGATGCGTTTCCCCCTTTCCTCTCCTTTTTACCCCCTGAAAGAGTTGAGTTACACTTTTTATACGAATAAAGAACATATTGTCTTGGCGTTATAAACCCATCTCTCTCCATTCGCACTCGTCCCACCCATGAAAGAAAGAAGGGGCCTCAAAGATCTTGAACGGATTTTTAGTGATGCATGGATCAAGCCTTGGGAGGGTGAATATTCACCCGGAAATTAGTTGACGTTGTTGGAGAAGATAGGGCCAGGGCTGATCCATATTTTGTGCCTGACCATCTGTAAACAGTCTCTAGGTTTCTTCCTTTGGAAACGGACTGTAGTAACGTTTCACATTCCTCGGGAATCTGTCAGGTGGTTCTTCGTCCAACTTAACCCTTTGCAGTCCTATTTTTAAGTTTTGCAGGTCAAAAAGTCCTATTTTTACTGTTTTTTTTTATTGAAATAGGTTCGAATGAGGTTTTATTTCTAATGAAAAAAGAATGTTATATTATCGCCACTTTAAGCTAAGCACAAAAGAGTAAAAAACATCTAAATTTTCTTGATAATAGTTTTTTCATCCCTGGGATGAGGTTGGACCGCAAAGGGTTAATCCAGTGGCACAGCGTCAGGGGGCCATTGGGATACGTGCCCCACTCCTCCCCACTTTCCAAGAAAAGCAAAAGGAAAATATCCAAAGAAAAAATGTATAACACGATTCCAGAGTTCCTGTGCTTCTCCGTTTTCCATCCACATTACAACTATGATTTAGGGTGGATTTTTGAACAGAGCATTATCCGATAATGCAGCTTTATTTAAGAGAAAATGCATTATAAATCCGGTAAATAAAGCAGCATTATCGGATAGTTCTCTGTTCAAAAATCCACCCTTAATCTATATTTCCGGGTGAGGGCATTCTTGAGGAGTGACACCGAAGCCATTTTATTCCAGGGGCCATATGCCGCCGTTATGTCGAAGGAGGTAAACTTGGAAATTTTATTATAGGATGAGCTAAAGCAGTGATATAATAGCATACGAAAATCCAAGGATGAGCCACTGTTGAGAAACTGGACGTAAGAAAATGATTGCTCTTCCATAGGATCAGACGACTACTACTGAAGACGAAGAAAGCATTTAACTTTGCTACCTTCCTGTTTAAGAATTCCAAAGATACGCCTGGGATTAATATTCAGCATAGCTTCTGAAATAACTTTTCCCCTGCATGAAATCCGAAATATGAGTTAATCTGAACTTCGTAGAGTGATAGAATGTACGCTCTTCCCGTTAATGCTTCCAAGCTCGATTGCCAAAGTCTTTTGCTAATGGAAGTCGGGCTCAAGAAAAATAATGGAATGTCGGGTCGGAAAATGAATGAACATGTTTTGCCTATTTCAAATACCGTTATTGCGGTCTTTATCTTCTTTGCTAAGCTAAAAAAAATTATACCAGGGAAGACATCATAATGAACCCAGTGATGACTTCTAATTTCCTCGTACTCATAAAAGCTTCTGAAAATGCAATATTAATGTTGCATTCTTATCATGGTCGAAGCGATCAATACGTGCGATCGATCGATACGACTATGTGATACTCTTCGACGCATCACAGTCAAATATTAAAACTTAGGAATTGAACTTTACATCTTTTTGGTTTTTCACCGTTTGGAGGGGGAGAGATGTTCTGTCCATGATATTAAGAATACAGAGGTCACGCATAATACTGCGGCTATTTTTCTTACTCCTTGAGACTCCCGGAAAAGTGTGAATAAGGATTCAACGAGGTATGGGAAGACATAAACTCCCTCTTCCCTTGGCCCTCTCTTCGCCAAGCAAACCCCCCACTCCGTTCGTCACACGACTAACATAAGACTGAGTCCTTCCATCCAAAAATCCAGCGTATACCAGAGCGACATCCATTTAATATAAGCTATCCAATTCCAAAGATAATGCGTCCGTAGTCGTTCGTATATCAATGATTTTTCGAAAAGTCATTCAATTGACTTTTGGTATACAAACGAATTGAGGGAGGGACAGAGTTGCCTTCTCAGGACCAGGGAAGGAAATAGAGATTCTGGATAACCTGTGAAACAAATGACACACGCTAATAAGCTTATTAGTGTGCAGCACATTTGCAACACATCAGACATAATTCGGTGGATTAGAGGGTGCCACTGTGTTTTTCAACTGAGTTGGACAAATTTTCACTTGACTCAGACTCTTGTGCATGGGATGTTTTTCATGCTCGCGTGTCTTTGTGTCTTAGTGTTGGAAAATACTGTAGCAGCAGTGGAAAGGAGGAAGAAGCAAGATGGCCTCCCGCTGTCGCGCTAACTCTCTGCCTGATATCTACGGTGGACTGTGTAATTCGTGAATTGACATTTCGAAACTCAAGGTTTGCAAGGCCGACCGAGGTTTTCTTCCTCAGACTTTTTAATATGGATCGAGAGAAATGCAGCTTGAGCTTGGAGCGGGAAGAGGATGGAGAGGAAGGAGCACCGAATGGAGACACCCGGGACATTGCTAATGGCTCATCTCACGTGGGAGGCTTTCCCGGAGATTGGCTGGCTGCCCGCAAGGAGAAATCCAAAAAGCGCAAGGAATTGCTAGCATTACAGGTTCGTCTGCAGACAGGCCTATCCATGTATGCGTGCCTTGAATATGTCTAAGGAAGGCTGCAGGCATTGGCATAGTGCAAATAATGGTAGACCTCAGTCTCGGTCCTGACCTACGGTAGTCGGAAGAGCTAGCCTAAGTCGCGCATCCGTTCAGAGTCGTCATCCAAGGGGAGGTGAGGATGGTTCAGCAGAAATGTCCATTTCAATCGAAGGATAAGCACTCAGCACCCCTCCTTGTACCTTTGAAGCCCACTTTCCCCCCCCCCCCCTATTCTTATGGAAGAAGAGTATTCCTGTTGTGACCCTCTTTCTGTAATGAGAGCAGCCATATATGCCATTGATATAATTTAGTTATACACACAACTTAGGAAAACTTAGCTCAGGATGAAGGAAGGAAGGTATCTGGATCATGATGGAAATATACACCAGCAACTAGTACTAAGGGGCTCTATTCAAAATGCAATGCTAAATCAGAGATGAAAGTATTATTCCAATTCGTCTAATTCAATTTCCATTTTTTTAAGGAAAGAAATAAGTACGTCACATTGAAATACCTTGCTGCGAAAGGCAACTTTAGTCTCTTCCTGTAACATTGACATTGACCAGGTGCCAAAAACAATTACACAGTGAAAGGATTTATGAAAAAAAACCAGCTCCCCCTGTATTATAAAAACTTCCAGATTTGTTTGAGGTCTAGTGGCTAGCAACAGAGAAGGAGGCCCCTATTGCCCTAAGGAGAGGGTGGTTACAAGACAAGCCATTCCATTCCATGCATTCCATTCTTACATTTTACTCATATTGTGATGAAGTTTTAAACTTCAAAGATTGTCTTTGGCTAGAAGTTCCAAGAAACTTAGATGGTAGGCCTAAGCCATTGGAAGAAAACAGGACCAATAGACAGTGATAGAGACACCTTGGCCCTGGTTTGATATAAAGAGTTGTAGAGGTTGGAGGAAGGCATTTTCATTAGTTTTTTATGTTACTGACTATTCAGAACTGTAGGGCTCCTATTAATACAACCATTGGGCTTCCCAGCTTTTTATAACTCAGTTGAAGTAAATAAAAAACCTGGGGAAGAAATTCAAACTTCCAATGTTTTGAATTGATGCCTTAACCCATAAACTAATAGACAACTAGTTTCCACGCTCAAACAAGGGCTTAGTAGTGGGGATATGAAGAGAGTAATAGTTTTAGTAGCTAAGATAAAACTGAATCTAGGTCAGATATATCACTCTCTTTTGAAATACAATCCACTCCACTTAACTTTTTGAAGAATGGGATTTATTTGATTTAAAAAATGCTCTACTTGCACAGAATATTGTTGAAAATTCCTGCCATTAAAACAAATTTAAAATCCATCAGCCATTAAATAAATGAGAAAAGTTACATTAAAATAAACATAATTTAAAATTACAATTAGTTACTTTTTAACTAATGTGGTACAAAAAGTGTGTCTTCTTGCTTCAAAGAGTAGATGAAATACTCCTTAATGAAATATTCCACTTGGAGGGCAAAGAGACATTAAATTATTTGAATAGAATAGCTTAATAAGATGGAATCAGCCAGGACTTCACAATGGTATTTTATGAAGCAGAATGATTCAGCAAGTAGCATTCTAATTAGCAAAGTCAATAGTTTATGTACATTTTCTATAGAAGCAGTCCCATAGATTTTTTTTTATAGCATAGCTCAAAGTTGTAAGCTTTAAGAAATTCCAAGCACTGGTAGTGTCAAAATGAATTATGCTTCTCTGGGGACAGGGTTCCACAATTGGGGAATTTATGCTCTGAATAGTTCAAGCCTGCCTTGCTTACCAGCCAAAATGTGTCAGCATGGGTGAGAACTTGGTATAGCTGCATGGCTTGCCAGAATACATTGGGTCAAGTATGTATATTTGAGTAATGTTGATGATTGGTTTTAAGGCTAGCTCAAGTAGTGGATATGGAATTGTTTTCAGTGTAGTTTCAGCTGTGAGCATATGGCCTATGTTTAAGTTCTAGAGGCATTCATTTTATAGCTTGGAGCTGGCAGTGCTGAGAATTTGGGAAAGCTCTTGGGAACAGAAGAGCCAAAATCCAGTCATGCAAAGCGAAGAACCATTGCTACTACAAGTGGCCTTTCAAGAATGAAATCAGAAGAAAAAGAAAGCTCTGATGAGATGGTCTACACAGATTCCTCTACATTTCTCAAAGTGGGTCTGGTCCTTGAGCCTGAGTGAAGTTAGCCCCCTTGATCCAAAGAAAAGCTAACTTGTTGCAAGTGCAAGGTTTTACATTTTTTTTATGCATTGAGTGAAACCATGTTTGAATTGATGGTCAATACTTTGCTGAAATGCAGGGCATTGCTGTATACCTTAGTGATAAACAACCTCTATCCCATGGGCTGCACAGGACCTCTTTCCAAAGAGATGTAGATGAGATGGTCCCTTAAAAGCAGTGGCAGAAGTCCAATCAACCCTTCAACTGCTAAGTACTCATTTAGATGCATTTATGCCTCAATGCTGAGTTTTTTTAATCATATTTTTTAAAACTTTATTTTATTTTATTTTAACATATTTGTTTTTTTATACCTTGTACTTGCCAGAATGCTTATATTGTTGGAGATCTTGACAGTGATGCATATCTGACCAAATGAAGTCTGACAATAAAATAACAAGACTGACAACACTGTAATGCATGTGGCAACACTGGGTTAGTGGTGATTGCTGTAACCTGTTAGTCCATGTCTTAAGTCTGTGCAGTAACAAATTTGTCATGATACTTGCAGTGATTGCAGAGCAGTGCCACTTTACCTAAAGTACTGCAAGGGGCACTCGTCAAAAAAATCAAACTCGAAGAAAAACCAACCGATTAACCGGTTAAGACGATGTTGTTCTATTTCTTCTACTGCAAAGGGATGGTGCATGGTGAGTTTGTTACTGCTGGTGAAACAATCAACCAGCAGTTATATCTGGAAGTTTTGAAACGTCTGAGACAGAGGGTTCATTGTGTGAGGCTGGAATTTTCCATGATAAGTGGATTTTGCACCATGATAACGCACCTTCACACACAGCACTTTCTGTTTAGGAGTTTTTGGCAAAAAAATCAATTACAGTACTTGAACATCCCCTTTATACACTGGATCTCTCTCCGTGTGACTTTTCCTTGTTCCCTAATGTGAAGAAACACATGTTGAAACCGTGGAAGAGAGGTTATGACGGGCGTTCTAAACGCCCGTCATCTTGCAGGAGATTGGCTTCCAGAAGTGCTTCGACAGTTTGAAAAAATGCTGGAATTCATGTATAGCTGCAAGAGGGAACTACTTTGAAGGAGACCACCACAGTTTATAGATACAATAATATAAAATATATAGCTATTAAAAAATGCAGTCTCATTATTTTATTGTCAGACCTCGTATATAGGGTATGGCAAAAAAAAGACAACCAATGACTTTCAACCCTAAGATCTCCCCTCTCAATAGAGCTATTTTTGTGAAACTTTTCCTTTACATATATGAAAATGTTTCCAACTGATACATCAAATTTCATCCAAATTTGTTAAGGCAAAGCAATATTATCTGCAATTATTGGAAAGAAGTTAGACATTGAGAATGGACAAGAGTTCTCACTGGTAGTGGAGTGGAGGAAACACTCAAGCACCATCCCTCCTGCTCATCAAGATCATGTCAAACTTCGCTTCCATTCCTCTGCGCTCTGCTCCACTTCCAGCAGGAGCTCATGTCCATTCTCAATGTCTAACTTCTTTTCAATAATTGCTGAAAATATTGCTTTGCCTCAACAAATTCAATGAAATTTGTTGTATCAGTTGGAAACACTCATATTTGCAAAGGGAAAGTTTTGTGAAAATAGGTCGATTTTGAGGGGAGATCTCTGGATTGAAAGTTGGTCTTTTTTTTGCCATACCCTTTATGTAAAGTCATAATGTATAAATAATAAATTAATTGTTATTTTAAAGTTTTCAGTGAGGCTTCAGAGGAAATTCACTCCCTCCTAATCAGAAAGTATTCCAAAGAGAAAGTATCCATTGAATAATCTACCCTAATCCTGGAAAAATTTATGGACTTTTATGAATGCATGGAAGTTATGCTTTGATACTGATATCTTTTGTATTTTTTTACGAGTGCAAGAGTCAAAGTACCAATGGGCGAGTATACTCGCCCATTCAGGTGGAAAAGGTTAATCTCCTGTGATACCTGTATCTAATTATTTGGCAAAGTATTTTAGACTCAAGTATCAAATGCACCAAGATCTCCAAATAAGGATGGTTAATGTATTATATGTCCTGGCACAGAAGTGCTTGGAATTTTTTCCCAAGTTCATTGCAAATAATAATATCAAATCTTCACCCCTCCATCAGTCAGACCCAAATTAGAATAAACATAAATACATTTTAATTGGAACATAATCTTCTGTATAAGGACTGTAAATATTTAAGATGATACACTGCTTTTATGTTTACACTTGCCCTAACCTTTTACTGAATATCCCTTCAATCTGATGTTGGATTTTATCCCATTCTTTTAATTTTCTCATTTCAGGGTACACAGTCATCCAATCCCCACAATGATTACTGCCAGCATTTTGTTGACACTGGTCAAAGGCCACAAAATTTCATCAGGGATGTTGCTTTGGCTGAAAGATTTGAGGAATATCCAAAACTGAAAGAGCTCATTCGACTCAAGGCAAGTTTTGATACCACCTTCATCAAGTTGGATGTTCTCTCTGTGCTCTGGAGATGCCTGGAAATGAGTTTTATTTCCCTTCCTCTTAGGATGAGCTAATATCAAGGACAGCATCACCTCCAATGTACCTGAGGTGTGATTTGCATACAATGAACCTGATGGACCTTGGGAGTGAGTTTGATGTGATCCTTGTGGAACCCCCTTTGGAGGAGTATCAACGAACCCGTGGAGTGACCAATATGGAATTCTGGACATGGGAACAGGTCAGACCTTTGAGCTATAATGAAGGAAGAAGTTTCATGTAATTTCTTGCTGCTTATTTGTATAAAAAATGATTGTGTGGAAGTGGGCCCATTTAATAATTATTCTGCTTATGCAGAGAGGAGAATCCTGGGCTATAAGTTTTTGCTGTAATTGTTCAATCTCTCAATTAATCTAATTGAATTAGTGGATCTAATGTTTTATCTTTGCTCTTCCTTTACCTTTCTCAATCAGATTATGAACTTGGACCTGGGATCAGTGGCAGCAGCTCGAAGTTTTGTCTTTCTCTGGTGTGGATCCAGTGATGGACTGGACTTGGGACGCCAGTGTCTAAGAGAATGGGGGTTTCGCCGATGTGAGGATATCTGCTGGATTCGCACTAATTTAAAGAATCCTGGCCACTCCAAAAATCTCGAACCCAAGGCTGTATTCCAGAGGACCAAAGTGAGTAACTTCACCCCTATATGCTGTATCCTGGTAATCTTTCTCCTTGTTCACCAGCCTTATTTGTCACATGCAGGAGCATTGCCTGATGGGAATCAAAGGAACTGTGCGCCGTTCCACAGATGGCGATTTTATTCATGCCAATGTTGACATTGACCTAATCATAACAGAGGAGCCAGAGTATCATTCTCTTGAGAAGCCAACTGAAATCTTCAGCATCATTGAACGCTTTTGTCTTGGCAAGCGCAGGTCTCAGTCCTTCCCTATTGTCATACTCCAATTCATTTACATTTGAAGCAGAATGGATGGGAAAATGTTGCGTTGCATTGCAGGTTGCATGTCTTTGGTCGAGACAGCACAATTCGACCAGGATGGTTGACCATTGGGCCAGGTCTCACAAATTCAAATTTCAATGCCTCAACATATGCATCATACTTTGTCAATGGAACAACAACAGGATGCACTGATAGAATTGAGGCACTACGACCAAAATCTCCACCTCCTAAGGGTAAGGGACGTGGTCCTCGAGGACCTCGCACAAGGACAAGATGATAATTGTTTTCTCTCATTGGGGGAGGATATATGTAGGATTTGAAATTAGCCTAAGGCTGCACAGTACTAGGTTGGGCTCCCAATCTAATTCCATGAAGCCTTGGGCTCTTTCTAAATTCAAACCCTGTGTATAGGTGTTTGAGTGAGGTCAGAAATCATATTCACTGACTAGTCACTTTTGGTTTTTCATGCCTTGATGAATAAAGCTCTTCTGAATTCATGTCAAGCTTGTTTTTCAATCTGCTTCAGCCATCAGCTGCACATAATAGAATTTGAGTATGCTTAAGTTCTATAGCCTTTAACTAGAATGTGGATTTTCATGGTCATGTGAGGTTCTGTTTTGGGCAGGTTTTACTTCACTACAACCAGCATAGCTTTGGGGGAACCAGAGGGGCACATGCCCCCACTTCAAGAAAAAAGCAACAGTAAGAAGTAAATGCATGAGAACAGTGTCTCAGAGTTCTTGTGGGCCCCCCCCCCCCCCCCCCCCCCCATTCTATTTTCCATCCCCCCTATGTTTACTAGTTGCTTTTACATATGTGGCTAAAATTTTCTAGGTTATTTTCTTACTTTTCCTTTTCATTTATTTTAAATGTAATATTGTGTCTGTGTGTCTTTGTCTCTGGGTACATCAGCGAAGGTTAGATTTGAGATGAGCTCCTGTTAAGAAGTTAAAATTTAAAAAGTTAAAAGTTAAAATTTTGACAAGGTATGAAATGTAGGAAGAACCGGTGGGTAAGGCAATTGGCCCCCTTACGAACTTAGGAACTTACGAGAGAAACATCGGTACCGTTAAGAACCACATTTGAAAGCAGCTTTTCGCGCGATGAAATGCCTAAGGACTGGAGGCTAGCGAACGTCGTACCGATCTTTAAGAAAGGACAAAAGAGTAATCCGAGGAATTATAGGCCGGTAAGTCTCACGAGTATCCCGGGGAAGATCATTGAGAGCATCCTAAGGGATCACATTTTGGATTTTCTCGAAGGAAACGCGCTCATCCGGGACTCTCAGCATGGCTTCAGGAGGCGTCGTGTAATTGTCTCACCAACTTGCTCGAATTCTACGATTGGGCGACGGAAGAGAGGGGTAAAGGGAATCCCGTGGACATCGTCTATTTAGATTAGAGATGCAACGATATTGAATTTTGGCCGATATTCGATATACCGATAATTCCGATATTGGAAAAGAACCGATACCGATACCGATATCTATATCTACATCTACATTTATATTCACACATTCAGGGTAGATTTTGAACAGTGAACTATCCGATAATGCTGCCTTATTTCCAGGAAATATCATGTATTTTCCCCAGAATAAAGCTGCATTATTGGATAGTTCTCTGTTCAAAAGTCCACCCTCAGGCATTAACCCCTCCACTGTTTAGTTTTATTTGGGACCAGGTCTGATGGGGAAAGCTTGAGGTGCACCAGTGGTGCACCTCATGCTTTTACCATTTCTCCAATAGTGAGAAGAAATGCTTTCTTCATGCTGAAGCCAGGCTCTTCAATGTGGATTTTAAAAATATTACATTGGATTTGCATCAGGCATTTTCTTTCCTATGTTCCATCCTAGAACTTGCAATAAGGTGGAATGGCAATTCTTTTTTTTTTTCAAAGTAGCACTCAGTTCAGAAAATGTCAAGAATGTCAAAGTTCCCTCCTTCATACCTCTAATGGACACCCAGACAGACATGACTGACAAATTGTTAACACATGAGATAATTTGCCATGAAGATGAAATGCGAAAATAGCTGCTTTTCAGGAAAATTTATAAGGCAATCAATCATATTTATTATATTACAGAAGTTTTTATCTACGAATATATTTATGTAATACATTATATTATAAATATTCAAATATAAATGATGACATTATTAATGTTTTTAATAAATTAGGGCTGCACCGACATATTGACAACCACAGAGATTGGCCTCTGGTGTTGCACCATTGACGCCATGGCTACGGTAAGGTTGGAAGCTGTCGATGCCGAAGCCCGAAGGAGGGCAAAATGGAAAAAAAAAACTACGTGAGTGTGTGAGCGCGGCTTGGCGCCTGCCCTCCTGTCTCGCTGAAAGCCTTCCCTGCCGCCCTCTCCCAGAAAAAAAATATAGATCAGATTATAGAGGAGTCCTCGACTTACGTCGTTTCGATATAACGTCGCTAACATATACCCCATATACGTTGCGTCGTTCCGATATAACGTCGCAAATCGAGGACTTCCTGTATATCATTTAGTCCATGGGAAAATAGGTTTCGTTTTACGTCGTGTTTTCTGGGAACGCATCCACGACGTAAATGGAGGACTTACTGTATATCAGCCCGATTGTAGGAACTGGTGGAGGAAAATAGTAGTAAAGACCGTGAAATCATTGCATCTCCTTTTATACTGTGCATTAGCGAGTGGTGTCGTTAAGCGCTCATATCAGCAATAGGTAACCATGACGGACTCACTGACGGACGCTGACAGACAGGCTGGAAAGGTCTAAAAGTGGTCTCAATCGTTTTCAGGAGACTCATTGATTAGTATCACAAGGCTTCCAAATAGGCCTATTTGAATTCGTATGCGATTTCATGTTACTTTCGCAATCTATAGAGTATAGATCATAATCAGCTCCGGCTCCGGCACCGGTCAATGGATATGAGTTCAAAATGCGCCATCAGTCTACCGGTCAAATGTGGCCATCTGCACAGTCCTAACAAGAATATACAGGGTGGGCCAAAAAAAAGTGAACCTCCCTTCAGGGGGTGCTATGTTACTCAAAAATGCTCTTTTTACTTTTTTGAAGCACTCAAAATGCAGCTGGCTCAATTCTGCACAAAAAGAATTAAATCTTAACTGTTCTTCCGTCCTTAGTTTGGCATCAAAATGTGTTTGAATGCAATTAGAGGCAAATGGGTTTTCACCGCTCCAGCATCCTGTGCACGCGCCACGTGTGCCTCTTTCTCATTCCCCGGCAGGAAGGGAGTGCGTCCACCAGCAAGTGGCTAGTTGACTTGGTACTGTTGTGGGAAACAGACTTAAGCTGGGANTTTCCAAAATGGTTCACTTTTTTTTTGGCCCACCCTGTAAAGATGATAAAATTCTTGAAAATCGATGGTTCCAAATGGAACCTCTGGGCACGAAAGAGTTGAAGTCAGACTATAGTCTAGTGATTTTTGTACCGAGGTTTTGGGATCCATCTAGGCCTGGGTTCTTCGCGCTAACACAAGCGATGTCTATTTTCGCAGAAAGTACGGAGTAGGCTATGGTAGTGGCATTAGGCCGAGTTAAGTCGATGACGCTTCTCATCTCTCTCTTGGGTGACTGGGTAATGAGCTTATGTCCCGTGACAGGATGGCCTGGGCTCGAACCTAGCCAAGTCAAGTGTATATTTCCTAGTTGAAGCGCCAGCGTGCTTGGGGAGTACCCGAGCACGGAGCGCTCCCATCTCTGGATGTGGGACGTTGAGGAACTGCGGCAGTGAAGGTCGAATCCCAATCCAAAGGGGAAAAATGCTTACATTTTCAGCAGCCTAATACGTCTTTTTTTAATGAAAACATGTCATTTAGGCATTTTCAACCTTCTGCAGTGTTTTCACTTGAGTTGGACATTTCTTCACTAGACTTCGACACTCATGCATGAGGAACGTCCAATGAACGTGTGTTCGAGTCAAGTGAAATGTTGTCTAATGAGAAAAAGGAGAGAATATTCATCATTCGCTTTACATACTCAGCGTTTGGCATACTTCAGGTGTAATTTCAATATCGGTTATCGGCATGTCATATATCGTTTTAGGCCGATATATCGGATTCACCCAATATCGGCCGATACCGATAACCGATAAAATATCGTTGCATCTCTAATTTAGATTTCGCGAAATCTTTCGATATCGTTCCTCACAAGAGATTGTGGGTTAAACTGGAGGCTCACGGGATCCAGGGTAGGACGAGCGAGTGGATCAGTAACTGGTTGACGGAAAGAGAGCAACGAGTAATGATAGATGTGGAAGTGTCGACAGAGGTCGGTGTCGCAAGCGGTGTCCCTCAGGGCTCGTTCCTGGGACCGCTTCTGTTTTTGGTCTACATTAACGATTTGGATCTAGGCGTAGAGGGTATGATGAGTAAATTTGCCGACGAGACCAAAGTATGTTTTTCTATAAGGGGGGAGTCTTTTAGATGAGTGGAGCAAGAAATGGCTCATGAGGTGTAAAGTTCTCCTCGGCGGTTGAAATAATGGTTGGTCTTCCGACGCGTTTGTCTAGGATAAACTGGGGGAGACAAACGGAAAGATTAACGAGTTTCTATGGACAATGAACTCAAGTTTTCCCACGGTGGCCAAATGTAACAGGATTCTAGTATTCATTCGTCGTTCAGTTGCAAGTAGAAACTTGCGCGTTATTCTTCCGTTGTATGCGGCGCTGGTAAGACCCCCAGTTGGAATGTTGTATCCAGTTTGGAGGCCTACAAATAAGAGTGAATGGACAGCTCTCGAGAGAGTACAGAGGAGGGCCACAAGAATGATCAAGGAGGTTAGGGGACTTTCGTACGAGAAGCGTTTGGAAGTGCTGAAGACTGTACTCGCTCAAGAGAAGGTTAAGGAGGGTCGATCTCATCCAGACATTCAGGATAATTAAAGGAATGGACATAGGCTGCGATTTGTTGAGAAATTTGGGGGGCTCAGAGACTACTCCAAGTATTCCTTATTCTTATGTCAAATTTTTGGGGGCTCGAGCCCCCTGAGCCCCTAGGAATCGCCGCCTATGGGAATAGACAATGTAGAGCAGGGGTGGGCAAACTTTTTAACATGCGGGCCACATGACAAAACACTAAAGCCTCGCGGGCCACAGAAGCACCGAATACTCGAAATTTAAAATAAATTAAACTTATTAACATCTCAGTGGGACACGTGCAGCTACCCACAGTTTTTTTTTTAAATTAGTTTTTCGAATTCAGGTGTCATTTCTGACACGGAGATTAGCAGCACTGCACTCAAACGTTGGCCAGTCATTTTTATCCTCAACTTTGATTTGTTGTTCGACGAGAACGTTTGCTCGCGAATATAAGTGCCTAAGTGGAACCGAAGAGCACCAGCATTGTCTAAGCATGTTCTCGCAAGTTAGAGAATTTTGTTTCATTCAGTGATGAGTTATACCAGAGTTGAACTTTTCCTCGTGAGGTAAGTCG